AATGTATAACGGAGATTGGGAAATGGGAAGAAAATGTTCAAATGGGAAGGGGAACAAGGGAGGAGGGAGGGAGAAAGGAGGGAAGGAAAGGACAAGAAAAAAAGTGGAAATGGATGGAAAAAATGGAAACAAAGCTTTTGTACATAGGGAGGGGAGGGGGGTAGAGGGAGGGAATAGGATAGAATAAAATATATTTTATAAAAACAAACACATGGGGGGCCAGGGATTTAGTTTAGTGGTTTCGTTGCCTGCTGCGAAAGCTGGTACCAACAAAAACAAAAAAAAAAACCACCAAACACATGGGCTGGGGATGTAGCTCAGTGGCACAGCACCTGACTCGAATGCACAAGGTCCTGGTACTGGAAAGAAACAAAACACCAAGGGGTTTAATAAAAAAGAAGCTCCTGCCACAGTGGCGTGGAGAAGAGCAAGATCTAAAATTACCACTTTTCTGGGGGGGTACCAGGGATCAAACTTGGGACCCTGCACTTGTGAGGCAGGCAGCGGAACCACTGAGCTAAATCCCCCGCCCAAGATCTAAAATTTCAAAGGAGCCCAATAAGCTGTCCTGTGTGCGGAACAGGACAGAGGGCAGTGAGGGCTGGGTGTGGACGAAACGCAGCTTCTTCACCACTGCTTCATTTTCCTTCTGGTGGTACTGGGGATGGAACCCACAGCTCCACAGAGCTACATCCCCACTCCCTTTTTCTATTTTGAGATAAGTTCTTGCTAAGTTGCCCAGGCTGGCTTTGAACTTGTGATCCTACTGCTCAGCCTCCTGTGTTGCTGGGATTAGAGAAGTGTGCCACCAATCCTGGTGGAAACTATCTTCAAGAAACCTAAATCCCCAGCCTTAAAAAAGCTAATTTTTAAATTTTAATAGCTCGGCACCCACCAGCTTGGCTGCCCCAGCCCAGGCCTCAGCCCCACAGGCACACGATCGTCTCCCGTGCCGAGGCCCGGGCCTGGCTGAGGCCATGGCGGGGAGGCTTGGCCTGAAGGCCCACGCACCCTGTGCTCTCCCCGTTGGCCCCAGCGCTCACCCTGTGGTTGCCCAGCACATAGAAGATGTGGCCCAGGAGCACGAGGGAGCAGGCGGTGAGGCGGTTCAGGTCCTCCGCGTTGGACATCTTCAGCGTCTCCCGGAGGAACCGCCTACCCCAGGGAAAGGGACACTGACACCCAGCAGGCCGGCATGGTGTGGAGGCTGAGCCAGGCTGTGGGCTGGAGGGGGCACCCCAGGATCGGCCTGCCCGCCCCCTGCCCACACTCACTTGGCCTCGTTGTAGCGGCCCTGGAAAAAGGAGAAGAGGCCACGCACGTAGAAGGCGGCTGCACGCAGGCAGTGTGAGCTGCAGGGAGAGTGGAGTGTCACCACAGAGGTGCACCCCTCTCCAGAAGAGGGGACCTCTGGAGTCCCTCATAAATGGTCCAGAAGGACAGGTGCAAGGTGGCAGCTATGAGGGCCTGGGCTGCTCACCTGACGGGGAAGCTATGGTCTGGGTTTATGCGCTCCAACAGGCTGTACAGCTGCAGAGAGAATGCTAGTTAGGACCACGCCCCAGTCCTCGTAAGGCGCAGATGCCAGCTGAGGGGCAGCCCTGAGCGCAGCTTGTCCTCCTGCGAGATGGATGGACTGGCAATAGTACAAAAGTGGCCTGAGAACACCCAGTGCCAGTGGGGGTCGGGGAGAGCCAGGCTCCTCTGGAACCTCTGGCCCCAGGCATCCCTGCTGGCCGCTTCCTGCACCCAGCACATCTGGACCACCCAGCTGTCAGGCAGTTGGCCTAGGCCCAGGCCCAGCCCGGAGGAGAAAGGATCCCGAACATGAAGCATGTCACCTACTACCTCTTGGTGCCTATTTCCTTCCCGGATATACACACTCGCCAGGTTGGTCACGATGAAGGCCCACAGCTCCTGATGGTTGGTGAGCTGCAAGGGAGCCGGGCATCAGGGAGCCAGTAGGGTGCGGCCCCCTCACTCCAGGGTGTCTTAGGGCCAGCAGCACAGGGCCTACTTGGAAGCCCTCTCTCTGTCAGACACACCCTGGGCCACACTCCTGCTAGGTGCATTGCAAAACCATCAGCCACCTCCTAAGACATTTAGACACCAGAGAGGGAACCAGCCAGCCAGCCCCCACAAGAGCTCGGGATGAGACCCAGCACCTTCCCCCACCCTCAGGCCCGTGGCCTCTGGGATGTTGGAGCTTCCCTGCTGCCTAGAGAGGCTCAAAGGTGGGGGAGGCCAGGTTGGGGGTCACAAACGCTGCTGATCACGAGGTGGACGGACAGTGGTCCCTGGCTCTTCTTTGTGTTGTGGTGCTGGGGACCCAGGTCCTCATGTACACTAGGCCAGCCCTCTCCCCCTTACAGGCCAAGCAAGTAGCCCTGGGCAAAGGAAAGTCCTGCCTGCACACCCTGCCCAGCCGGGGTGGAGCCAAGCCAGGATGTGCTGCGACACAGCAGTACAGGGACACATGTGCGGGACCGCAGAGGGTGAGTGTGTGGGAACAAGGGCTTTGTGCTTTTGTCCCAATTGCTCCATCTGGGCCATGGGAGAGCTCCCTGCAGCGCCGATACCTAGCTACAGAACCGGAGCGCAAACAGTGCAACAGGGATGGCAAGCCCACCGGGGGCCATGGCAGAGCGCCCTCCACTGCCACAGGGGGCAGCAGGAGTGAACCAGGGTAGAGGCAGTGGTGCAGGCACTGTCAGCTCTGACTGCCCAGGCTCCGGGGTCTCCGAGGCCTGGGGCAGGAGCACAGTGCCCAGATAGAGAGCACTGTGGAGGGAGCATGGAGAGAACATCCGCAGCGGCCTCACCCAAGCCCTGCAGTCCTCTCCTTGAGGTTTCTACCAAGGGCTCCCTGGGAGCAGGGGGTCACTGGCTGCCTCTTCCTGGGGGACGTCAGGGTGGAGGTGGGCACCCTGTCTGGTGCTGGTGAGAAGGCTCGGGTCTTTTGGTGCCATGTGGTACCAGCCTCTTTCCAGGGCCTGCCAGGACCCTGACGCCTCCCGATGGAGCCTCTCCCTGAAGCCAGGCATCCTCTTCTGCCCACACCCTGGAGGGGCAGATGCTGGGCAGGCAGACCTGGCCCCATGTCCCAGACACTTGGCATTCATGTGGGCACAGCTTCAGACCAGCGCAGGACCCACCCAGGGTGACCCTGGCTATAACACCAGACAGCTAGGCCTGGAGGTACCAAGGACTCTGGGCATGGTGTCCCTGTGGCTGCCCTTGGGGACCGCACTCTGGGCAGAGGCCTGGCCCCAGCCATCCCTCATCCCACAAAAGACACCAGCCTGCCAGGGCTGTGCGAAGAGCCGCACTGCACAAGGACTGAGCAGCCATCCTCGTCACAGCCTGGAGCCTGGAAGGAGGCGCAGCAACATACCCGCAGGGCTGTGGTAAACTGGGCTTCCGCATTGTCCATGCAGTTGACAGAGACGCAGTACAGACCCTGGGGGAGGAGGAGCTGTCATGGAGTGGTGCCCGGGGACCTCAGATCAGGGCCACATGCAGTGGCACCCGGGCGGCATGACATGTAAGCCTGATGACTGCTATATCCTGGCACCAGACCACACCCAACTCCCAGGCCTACGGTGACTTGAGACAGAACGAAGCCCACTGGGAACGCTCCAGACCCTGCCTGGGTGACAGTGCACCAGGGGAGCAATGGACCCCACACTCGTGGCCCCAAGCACTCACCAGCAGCGTGTGCAGCTGTGCAGCATGGTTGGAGAAGAGCCGGGGTGACTGCTGGCACAGCTGGCAGACCTGGGAGATCTGCCGGGAGAGCAGCTCGTGGTCACGGGTCACCTGGGCCCAGGCTCTGGAGAGGCACCCGAGGGCGGCCCACAGCCGGTGGTGTGCTCATGGGCTGCCACCCAAACCGGGACAGAGTCCTGCAGGATGTGCCCACCTTCCCTCCCCACGGGAGTCCTGCCCATGCCCCAGAGCCCATGTGAGGGGATCTTTCTTGGGACCGACAGGGATGCTAGGTCTCTGTATCAGATCCTTGATCCAAGTGACAGCGAGACGACTCTGCAGGACACCCTGGTCCAAGCCGCTGAGACCCAGCTACCTCTGGTCATTGGCTGGGGCGTCCCTGCCCACCTACCTCCTGCAGTGCAGTGGCCTTGTGGCCTGTGACAAGGCGGCACATGATGATGTGCTCCAGCAGGATAACTTGGAAGGATGACAGGATGGGGCTGCAGTCCAGCACTGCGGGTGGAGCCAGCTGTGAGTGTGTGTGCATGGAGGCCCACGCCGTCCCTGCCACCTGCCCATCACCTCCCTGTTCCCCCAAGGTATGGGTGCTCAAGCCAAGGCTGACTGGGAGAGCTTCCCAAGGAGGAAGTCCTGGCTGGGATGCAGCTCTGTAGAGAGACTGTGCTTAGCATGTGCTGGGGCCTGGCTTCCATCCCCTCCACCCCAGTCCCCCAAAAGAGCCAACTTTTGGCTGGGTGGGGCAGCAGAAATCCATAGTCCCAGCTACTCAGGAGGCTGAAGAAGAAGGGTGGCTTGAACTCAGGAATCTAGACTGGCCTGGGCTACACAGTCAGAACCTGGCCTGCAGAAAGAAAATTCCTGGAGGGATGTTTTTGATCATTGAACCCATACCCCGAGTGTTCAAGGAGCATTTTGCACACAGGGGTTCTAAAAGTGCCGGAGCTGCCCTCAATCTCTCTCTCTTTTTTTTTGTGGTACCGGAGATCGAACTCGGGACTTTGCGCTCGCAAGGCAGGCGGTGGAACCACAGCTAAATCCTCAGCCCTTCTGCCCTCGATCTCGAGGCTCTGAGACGGGGCTGCAGGCAGTGGCAACCCTGAGTGGCCATCCTCAGCCTGGATGTAGACTTCTTCTCTAGGAGTGCTTGGGGCATAGGGAGCAGACAGGGAAAGTAACAGGACGGAGAGCCAGCCAGAGACATGGGGGCACTGGGTCTGGGGCTGACAAAGGTGCCTGGTCCCAGAGAGCTAATGAATAAGCAAACGTGGAAAGAAGCTGTGACCTCCAAAGGATCTGCTCCACACTGGCAAAGGCTGAGTTCTTTTTTTGGGAGATAGGAGCTTTAAGTTGCTCAGGCTGGGCTCACACTCATGATTCCTCCTGCCTCAGCCTCCTAAGTATTAGGATTCCAGGTGTGCACGACTGCATCCAGCTTTACTATGGGCCAAGTCCTGCTGCTGGTCTCAGCCTGGGCGCATCCACGTCACAATGTTGGTGAGAGACAGTAAAAGCAGCCACAACCTTTCTCAGCAGAGCACCACCATCCTGGCAGGCCCCCACAGGGCTCGAGTTCAGGTGGAGCAAAGGAAGTAGGACAAAGGCCCCGGCCAGTCGGTTGGCCCAGGCCGGGCCTGCTCTGCCCTCAGTGGTCACGACAGCTGCCAAGAGGCGAGATGGCTCAGGCAGCGGCGGCTGCTGCCCACTAGGGGGTGCAGCAAGAGCACAGCACACTCACTCTTGAGCTTCTCTAGCTGCATGAGGGCCTTGTCCGTGTACTTCTGTGCCTTCTCCAGGTAGCCGGCCTGCATGGAGTGCATCACGGTCACCTGGCAACAGAGCAGGCAGCGGTCAGCTCGGCGGGGTCCTCTCCCCACCTGGGCCCGGCCACGGGGACTCACCAGGTAGACGAGCACGCACATGTGCTCCTTGGGCAGCCAGTGGAAGAGGTCGGCGGGGTTGCTGGGCAGGATCTCGTCGTCATGTAGTGTGGAGATGGTCTGGATGCACTGCTGCAGCTGCTTCAGGCAGGGCTTCACACTCTTCACCTGCGCACACACTCACACCTAAGCGCTGCCACCACCTCCCAGCTCTGCCCACTCCTGTCCCTCTGTGGGGCCCCAGATACTGGGCTTACACCAGGGCCTGTCCCCCACGATGCTGCCCAAGCACCAGTTGGCCTTCCTGCAGCCAGACCCATGCAGGCAGGAAGAGGCTGGGCGGCTGGTGGGGGCCTGGGTGGGACGGGGCCTCTGACACCCAGGGTCCTGACAGGGACAGAGCTCCTACTCCTGGGCCTGTCTGCACCCAGAATTTGAACCTGGGCCCCTCAAGCTTCTCTGAAAACTGGGACTGCAGTCTGCTGCACACTGCCCTGGGGCACAGTGGGGCACAGGGCCTCCCCACTGCCCGGCTCCACCTGTGGCTCCAGCACCTTCAGAGGACCTGCCAGTGGTCACCCCAAGTGGGCTGAGGGCACAGGGTGGCCCCGACTCCTGAAAGGCTAAGAAGGTCACCAACCTGGGGCATGCTGGGAAGGGCACATGCCACATGGGGATACTCAAGTGGATGACAGCAAAGAATCCCCAGTGAGAGACCCTGGCTGAGTCCTGGCTCTAGGACCCCTGGCCGTGAGCCAGGCGAGGCCGCATGTCACTGTGTTGACACGAGGCAGCGGGGCCCACAAGCACAATGGTGCCCAGCACATGCCGCAGCAGCACGAGGCTGTACATGGCAGGAGAAACTCCATGGGAAGGGATGATGGTAGGGGACTTCCTGAGCCCCTGGCACACACCCATGCCGGTCCTGCCCCCACAGCCCTTCCACGAGCAGGGGAGCCACGCACCTGGCCAGCATCCAGGTAGTGGGTGACCTGGAGCACCAGGAAAAAGACACGCAGCGACTCCTTCTGGATGGGGTTCCCCTGCCAGTTCTCCACGATCTGCCCACACAGTGTCAACAGTGGGTGCACCTCCTGCAGCTTGCGCTCCATCAACAGAAGCTGGCCGGGCAGGGGTCACAGGGCTTGACTGAGTGCACCCCAAACCCAGCCGGCCCCAACCTCGCTCCCGCCTCACCCTGGAGTCAAGGGCCACTAGGGCAGGGGCCTCCCTTCAGGGCTGCAGCTGTGGGCAGCGCAGGCATCGCCGGCATCGCCAGTGCCCAGCTTTCACTTACCATGCCCTTGCTGAGCAGGAACAGCGCCCTGGAAAGAGGTGGGAAGTCAGGCCTGTAGCCTCCTGGGGTAACTGGCTGCTCAGGAATGACAATCACCAGTCCCCAGCGAGGGCATCTTTTATTCACTGCTCTGCCACAGTGGGTCCTATTCTGTCTGTACTGCTCTTTTGTATGGCTTAGTACTGGAGTGGTCTTGATGCCCAGCAAGCCACATTCTGGGCAGGGCTGAGGAGGGGACGCTGGGAGTCACCTCCATGTCTGATACAGCAGACGGGCCTGGTGTCAGGGGACACACAGGGCAGGGGCAGGAGACAGTCTTGGCTCCTGAACACTTCAGTGCAGCATCTGTGAACTGGGCGAGTCCCCTCAGGGTTTAGGGACAAACTCAGGTAGGCCTGGGACATCAGCAGAAACAGTAATGAGATGCACGTTAACAGGGCATGTTCAGAAAACGGCAGAGGTAGGAGGCAGGCAGAGCGCCCGCACCTAAACCCCACAGGCTCCCCAGGGCACTGTACCAGGGCGGGCACTTCCTGCAGGCAGAGGCCCTGGGTTCCATGCCCAGCACTGTGAAGAACTGCAAGCCCCGGCTGTGACTGTACTAACCCTGAAGGCCTTTGCCAGCACTGAGCCTGTGCTGCACCCTGCCAGTCTGCTCAGAGTCGCTACGCGCTGTAGCCGAGACTCCACCACGCAGGCATCGTTCTCTGCACTTCACAGGTGAGTGAGGAGTCCCAGGGAGGAGGTCAAGGCTGCACTTGCCCAGTGGCAAGGCCATGCACTGGGCAGCTGGGCTCCCTGCCGTGCTCCAGGCCACTTGCCTGCATACGCCAGTTCCCCGACATCACCTGACTGGAAGTCAGCACAGACGACCTTGTGTAGAGGTCCCCATGCTGTCACATAGGAAATGTGTGGGCCAGGAGGCTCTGAGCTGGGGACCTACAGTGCTGACCCTTGGTGGAGGCCCGGACCGCTCTGCACAGGCCACAGGATGTCACAGGCTGGGCCCCAAGAGGACACTGGCCCAGGCTCACAAGTGACTGTGACAGCATCCCACTGCCCCATTGGCTGGCCTGCCACACCTCGCAACAGCAGCAACACACAGGTCACAGGTTGGCCTAAGATGTGAGGGGCTGGGCCGGATGGTATGACAGGGTGGCCAGATGCTGGCTCCACCCACCCAGGTAGCATCCTGGAAGGTGACAGTGTGGGGGGCCTGTATGGTGCCAACACCCTCGGAAGTCAGAGAGATGTCTAACCTGTGATCTGCCTTTAATTTTGGTCCTTTTTAACATTATAAGAAAAAAATACATATCAAGAAAGAAGTTTTATAACTTACACACATAAACTATAGTAACGTTTTACGTGCAAGCCAAGACAATTCCTCTCTACTCAGAGTAGCCTAGGCAGGCCAAAAGGTTGGCCACCCTGGAGGTCAGAAAGGCCCTGTGTGGACCATTCCAGAGGCCCGGCATGCTGGCCTGCTAAGGAGCTGCTCTGTGCGGGGACAGAGACAGACGGCTTCACAGAGGGTGCTGGGGACACCGTGGCCTCTGACCCTTGAACTGTGATCCCTGGGCACCAGACTCCACAAGGGCTAAAGGGCTTCATGCACAAGAGCATCCTATGTCCCTTCTTTTACACCAACACCAGTTCAGTCTGCCTTCTGCTCTCACTGAGCTCCTCAGCACCCTGAGCAAGTGGACACTGAGGTCTCCACCTACGTCACTGCCACCCGTGCCCCATACCACCAAAGTCATCAGCACAAGGAAGGGCAGTAGCCGAACAAGTCCTATGGGCACCTTTATAATTCAAGACAGGCTGCAGACGATGCTGGCTGCCCCTTGGCCAACTGTCCAGCTGTTTATTTCATAAACCAACAGGAGAGGCGTCACCCTGCAGCTTTAACCTGTGTGGCTCTCCGAGGCAAGACAACACCATTCCTGTCTGGGGTCAGGAGGAAGATGGTCATGCTCTCTCTACTTAGGAGAATGGGAGGGCGCAGTGGGTGGCACCTACCGTGTGTACTCAGACCCCACCACCCGGGCATACTCGGCCCCCACGCCCAGGAGGTCGCAGGCCGACACCAGGTCCTTCTCAAGCGTGTGTAGTTGCTGCGAAGGAGACAGCAGACACCGTTACTGCCACTCGCATTTTTCACAGGGCCCACCCTGGCTGCTCAGCTGAAGCAAGTTCACCTGCACCTCCCCACATGTCAGTGGCAGCTCGAGCAAAATTTGCACTTTTTTTTTTGGTTTTGGGATCGAACTTGGGTCCTTGCACCTGCGGAGGCAGGTGGCAGCACCAGGTGGCAGCACCACTGAGCTAAATCCCCAGCCCTAGAGCTAAATTAACCAATCATCTCATCAGCCTTAACGTCCTGGGTGCAGAGCTGCACTCCACCTGCTTTGCCCAGCGTATACATCATCTAAACCCAACGGTGCAGAACCAGCAGCTAACGCTCATAGCCCTGGGTGACGGCACCAGGGTGTGCTCCTGAGTGCTTCCTGGGTGGCCTGTGGGGGTCCCAGAATTAGGAGGGGTCCCTGGTGTGCTGTGGGGCTGCTGAGGACTCCCCAGGTAAGTGTCTAGTGGAACTTCAACCCGAAAGCCTGAGCAGGGAGACCTGCGCCAGCTCAGCTGTGGGAGGAACCCAGGGGTTCAGTCTTGATCTTGGGGTCCCTGAACACACACCACATACTGACTGGGACCACCTGGCTGCCGCTTCCCTGCCAGCAGACACATGTGTGTGGGGAAGGTTTGAGGAGACTGTGTGGACGGGACCGACAGGAGACCTCCCAGCCAGACCCTCCTGGGACGAGGGGGTTGCCGGCAGGTTAAAGAAAGGTCCCCGTGTCCCCACCCACTTGGCATGGTGGCTTGGTCACAGCCCCGGTACTCACAGCGAGCTGGAAGAGCAGGCGGCAGTGCCAGTACGGGGTCTGCTGTGAGATCTGGATCGCCTTCCTCAACAGTGGCTTTGCTGCATCCACGGAATTCTGAAAAGAAAAGATCACATCAGGCCAATAAGCCAGCAGTCAAGGCCTCAGCACAGCTGCCGGCCACAGGCTGTTTCCGATCATGCTCGCTCAGGGTTCTTTTCAGGTTGCCAGTTTATTAAAAGAAAAGAGAGGGCCAGGGATTTAGCTCAGTGGTTCCGGTGCCTGTCTCACAAGCACAAGGTCCCGAGTTTGAGCCTCAGTACTAAAAAAAAAAAAAGATACTTCATTGGACTTGCTTCATTGGACTTGCTGGCTGGAGAATTTCTGCACCACTCTTAAAATAACTTCTCATCCAACTATACTGACAGTAGCTAGAGTTAAATCCTGCGCCATCACATGAATGTCAGTCCCTACTTTTGTGTGCTCAGACTGGAACATGGGGCCATCGAACCTCCTGCGTCCACTCAGCGTCCTGACTCTTGAATAGCTGGAATTATAGGTGTGTGCCACCGTGCCCAGCCACAAGTCTTTATTCAAAAGGGGGGAAGGTAATGCTCAGCTGCAACTGAAATCAGGGACCAGATGAGGAAGGCAAACCTACACAGACTTCCTAGGTTACAAAGAAAGCTGTTTTCAGTCTGGGTTAAAAAACGCTCCGTGGCCCCTGCCAGCAAATGATTACCTGTGAAAACCCTCTGAGTCCTTGGGTTCCACATCCATGGAGTCAAGCAACCACAGATCCAAAGTATCTGAGGGCCTTACATGTACAAGGCCCTGGGTTCAACCCCTAGTGCTGCCATAAAAGAGAAAAAGAAAAAATTCTCTCTCTTCTCCCCATCAGAGTCCCTAGACAACAGAGTATAAACTGTCCAGACAGCATCACACTGCGTGAGGCAGCCCAAGCCAACTACAGGTGATTTACCTCGTGGAGAGGGCGGGGGCAGGCGGCCTCGAGGGGTAGAGCGCTTGCCTGGCATGCCAAGGCCCTGAGGTCTGCCCCAGCATGGCAAAAAGTCAATGAATAATAATAAACACAAGGCAAGATGCTTGTAAGCTCTATATAACACTATGCATTTCTTTTTTTTTTTTTTTTTTTGGTATGGGGAGTTGAACTCAGGACCTTGCCCTTGCCAGCCAGGTAGATGTGGTGCCACTGAGCTACATCCCCGGCTTGTCACCATGCATTTTTTTTTTTTTTTTGGTACCAGGGATCGAACTTGGGACCTTGAGCTTGCGAGGCAGGCGGCAGAACCACTGAGCTAAATCCCCGGCCCTCACGATGCATTTTATAGCAGGGCCTTGAGCAGCCAATGGTTTTGGTAACTGAAGGGAGCCCTGAAATGACTTTCTCAGGGCTGGAGAGGGAGCCCTGTAATCAGAAATACTCAGAGCCAGACGGGCACGAGGCTGGTGGTTCTGGCCTGCCATCCCAGACACTAAAGAGGCAGAAAGAGGCCACCTGAGCCCGCGGTGGGACAGTCCAGCCTGAGGCAGATGGCATTCGGCTGCTGCAAGCCTCAATCTTTTGGTGGGGGGTTGCTTTCTGAGACATGGTCTTGCTATGTAATTCAGGGGCCAGCCCGAGACAATCTTCCTGCCTCAGCCTCCTGGGTGCTGGGATTACAGGTGTGCACCACCACATGGGCCCCAAGCCCCAGTCTTCAATCTTTCTTTGGGCCGCAGTGACAGGGAGAGACTTTGCTTTCAGAAACCTTGGTCTGTTCTTACCTCTTGACAGTACAGTTCAGACAACAGACTAGCCGCTTCGAACTTAACATCTTCAAACTGTGGGATCTAGAGGCATCTGGTTAAGAAAGAACACACTGCAAGGCAGTCAGTCTAGAAGGCTGTGGCTCGGGTGGCTGTCCAGCAGGGCCATGTCCTGTGCCCCATGTCCTCCTGTCCCCAGTGACCCTCCAGCTTGCAGCAGGCCGGGCTGGGCTGGGCGGGGCAGGGTGGAGGGCAGCATGGGGTCCCTCCAGGTGGTACGTGGGGCGGGACTCCAGCTCTAACACCCTCCTACTTCCAGGGCATGGCACAGGGCAGGGCCCAGCTCAGGGGCAGAGCATTTGCCTACTAGTAGGTGGCAGGCCCTGGTTTCCACCTTCCAGTCTCAGCACCACAAGGCAAAAGAGGATGCTCCCAACAATGAAAGGATACTTGCTGTGATATCAACCACTGAAAGAGAAGGAAAAAACAATTACTTCTCAGGCAAATGCTCAGCACCTGGTTGCTGGCTAAGTCTGGGGCTTACATAGGTCCCCGTCAAACACAGGTGGCCTCCTTGGCCCAATGAGCAAGGACAATGCAGGCCGCAGGGCAGTGAAGGGGTGCCCCTGCTGACCCACAGGAGAGGCCAGAGGTGACCGAAATCCCCACCTGCCAAGCAGAGCAGGCTGCTGGTCGGGCAGAGGACGGATGGCCAGCAGAGCTTGACATGGGAAGCAGGCGCAGCTGGAGCAGGGCTGGGGCTGTCAGGCTGCCCCCTAGAAGTGACATTTAAATGATGTCATCAGAGCCAGCCGGGCAGCAGCAGATGGCAGTGAGCACCAGCGCCAAGCACAAGACTGGGCCGAGAGGCAGTGACTCAGGGACCACTGTTGAAAAGTCCACACTCTCCAGGCCCCGGGCTGGCACAGCGCTTGGGACCCGAGCATGCATCTCACCTTTCCCGACACCCCACTTGCCCCACACGCTTAGAGCTACTGTCCAGCCCCGTTCAGAGCTGACCCCAAGGCCCTGACTGCCCCTGATCCACTGGGGAGCAGCACAGTGCCCAAAGGGTGCCTGTGGCCAGGCCTGGAGGATGAGAGTGAGCGGGAGGCAAGGGGCCCTAGGGAAAGGGGAGCAGGGGGCGCGGAGGCAGAGAGAAGCTTAGGGGCAAGGCACCGAAGGCTAGGGATCCAGGCTGAAAGGCCCCTGGTTCCACATCATTCCTGTGGTTCTACTCTGGCCGCAAGGCCTGTCTCCATCACAGCCAAAAAGAATAGATGCTGAGGCCCACCATGCCACCCGGGGGCGTGGTGGCAGAAGCTTATGATCTCAGCTCTCGGTAGGCTGAGGCAGGAGGATCACTGTGAGTTCAAGGCCAGCCAAGGTCTTACCTAGCAAGACTCTGTATCAAACAAACAAACAACAAACAAAAAAGTGCAAGTGTCCAAGGAGGACAGAGTTTCCACTTCCCCGAGGAAGAACTAGAGGCCTTGGGGATGGCAGCCAGGGAAGCAGCTGGGAGGGAGGGGAGCTTTGGGAGAGGGAAAAGGCACTAAGCGCGCTGCTGGAGCAGCCTGTGTGCCCCTCCTGTCCACACCAAGGGCCACGCATCCCAGACGGGCAGGGCCAAGGCCTGAAGCGAGTTGCAGCCCCAGAGAGAGCCTTCTCAGCTGGAGGCTACATGTGGGGATTGTGCGGCGACACTGTGGAGGAGCTGCCAGCTGCAAGAGCTCAAGCAGAGGGGAGGCCCTCTGCTTTCGGATACAAGGGCTGGGACAGAATCACACTTCTCCCGGGGAAGGAATTGGCCGGAGGTTGAAGGACAAGGACAGGTGAGGGCTTGCATGCAGCAACCCCGGGCTGGAGCCCAGGCCGGGTTCAAGATGGGGATGTCCTATCCTGCCTGAGTTAGCAACACTCCAGGTCTCAGAAGTGAGACCCTAGTGCTCGGTATTTGTTCTCTCTCTGTGGTACCCAGGGATGGAACCCAGGGCCTTGTTCCTACCAGGAGAGTGCACCACCACTGAGCCACCTCCAGCCCAGGTCTTAGTGCTCTTCTGTTTTTTAGACCGGGTCTCACTGTGTCATCCAGGCTGGCCTCCAACTCACAGCAATCCTCTTGCCTCAGCCTCCAGAGTGCTGAGATGACAGGCGTGCGACACCATGCCCAATGAGCCTAGTGCTCTTTTTTTTTTTTTTTTTGGTACCAGGGATCAAACTTGGGACCTTGCGCTTGCAAGGCAGATAGCGGAACCACTGAGCTAAATCCCTGGCTCGAGCCTAATGCTCTTAAACAAGGGTTTTCCAGGCCCACTGACCTGCCACCATTCTCTTCCGTGTGCAGTGGCGCCCCACACGTCACTCAGGACAGGGTGCATACTGGGAAATGCATCCTCAGGCCTTCTGTCCCTTGCACACCTCAGTGCACTTCTACAAATCATGCCAGCTATTATCACTGGGCAATAACAGCTCACAGAACCGCTGTCACACCTGCAGTGCATCATGGGCAGAGCTGTCACCATGTGATGCCCGGTCTACCCACATATGGGGACATTAGAAAAGGCTTCACGGAGCTGGGTGCAGTGCTGCACGCCTGTTATCCCAGTTCTAGGTGGTTGAGACTGGAGGATCACAAGTCTGAGCCCGGGCAACTTAGGGAAACCCTCAAAATAAAAATAAAGGGCTGGGACATAGCTCCATGTACAGCCCCTGGGACTCAGTCCCACCAGCACTCGGAGCCTTGTGATGTGCGGGCTCTGTCGATCCCCTGCCCAGGCTTCAACAGGCCGGTGCGCAGCTGATGCTTGGCAAGCACGGGTGGTGCAAGCAGTGGCTTTGTCTCCTCAGATGGCAAGCACTGCCAGTCTGCATCACCCAAACAGGTGCCTTCATAAGCAAACGGCTCCTTCCTTTTGCACCCACAGTCCTGACTTCTAAGCATTACAGACACCTCCTAACAAGAGTCATAGCTGCCGCTTCTTTTTTCTTTCTGTCTTGAGATAGGGTCTCACTAAGTTGCCCAGGTTGGGCTCAGACTTGGGATCCTTCTGCCTCACCCTCTTGAGGGCTGGGACAACAGGCGTGCATCGTGCACCCGGCTTATCACTGCCTCCTGACTGGGGGCCATCACCAGCAGTGCGGCTCAGGCTGACTTGCAGGAGGACACAGCTGCAGGCTGGCCTGCGTGCAGGAGCGGCAGCCACTCCCACTCACTCTGACACTAACTTGGCTTTCGCATCTGTAAAACTTTAACGTGAACTATTGCCCCCGCCTCTTGTCACATGCTCCCGCTTGATGCACAGCCTCCCTGAAGCCCCAAGGCCACAAGCTGAACCAGCTTTTCCTCCGCCCAAGCTGACAGACGGGGTTGTGTGTTGTACACCAGTGACACAGAGCTGCCGAGCACAGCTGCCAGACACACACTCCCATCAGACAATGCAACCGCCTCAAATGCAGAATGCAGGGCGCCTCCGCCAACACTGCTACATCGTATTTCTTTCTTTTTCCTCTGTAATGTTAAGAAATAGTTTTTGCACCTCCTTTCTCATGATGGGGAGCCAGCCATAGAGGCCCCTTGGTGCCGGATGGCAACGTCCTACCAGGCTACTTAGGAATGTGAGGGTCACTGCAGGGCCATCAGGTGCCACCGAGGCAGAAGGGCCCTAATCAGCACCCCTGGTGCCTGGGGGACTCATCGGGGCCACGAGCATCTCAAGAGTTCCCATTCACCGAGACCGAAACAACTCAAAAATGTCTGGGAGCCTCCACACTTCTGACCACACACCTCAACCAGGTATGCCGCTCAGGGCCTGAGTGTGGGCGCTGCTGGGAGAGAAGCAGGCACACTTGTGGGTGAGCAGAGGCCCTGCAAAGCCAATGCAGGGCCTGGCATACAGAGGGCACCAGAAGCACCGCGGAGATTCCCGGCAGGGACAGCAGAAGCGGGAAGCGTTGTGGACACCACCTCCTGTGAAACCAGCTCCGCGAAGGAGACAGCAGCTCTGCAGACACAGCCTCTGTGCAGGCCCATGCGGCCAGTGTGTGCTGGGAGCTGGGACCTGGGAGCTGGAAGGGTGCAGCCTGCTCCTAGGGGAGAAGCCAGGCCAGCTGTGAGCATGTGAGAGCTCAGAGCCAGCCTCATGGCCTTCAGAAGGAACAGCACACACTTAGCCACTTGCTAGGTCAGCAAACCATGGGCTTCCAGCTAAACCAGAAGGCAGAATTAACAACCATCAGCCTGGCACAGTCTGGCATTGGCTTCCTAAGTCAGACAAGCAAAACTATTCTTAAAAAGGGGCCGCAGGTTGAGGCAGGAGGATGGCTGCAAGTTCAAGGCCAAGGCCGGCTTGCACTACAAAATGACACCCTATCTCAAAAAAAAAAAAAAAAAAAATCAAAAATTAAAAATTAAAAAACAAAAAAGAGAGAAAAGAAATTAAAGCAAAACAAAAACCCAAACCAGCAGCTCTGTTCCAAATGCACAGAGAAAGCAAACACATATCAATGAAGATACTGGCAGTTAGTTCAAAGAATGAATGAATGGATTACAGAAAATAACAATTCATTCCAGAGAAGTAGCATGGGTTCCTCGGTGGATTCAAACCAGGAAAATCTAAAAACAATGATGTGCTTTCCAGGCCCAAAGACAAAAAGGACTACGTGATCAAAGCTAGGAAAAGCAGGCTGGGGTTAGCTCAGGGGTCGAGCAGGAGCTTAGAATCCACACAGCCCTGGGTTCAATCCCCATCACCAGAGAATTAAAACAAAGGAAATAAAGGGGACCCTGATATTCACGCACATTCTCTTGGTTCCCCAGCAGATCCGCACATGTCTGAAATGCATACATCTGCCTGCAAGACAGGTGTGAAAATGAGACAGACACCACGGGCCTCACAGAGAAGGGGAGAGAAAATTCACACAGGAACGGGCGAACAGGAAGAAGAAAAATAATGAGGGGGAAACAGGGAACACGATCTGACAGGGTCTGTGGAAATGGCTTTGCAAATTCTCTAGCCAGGAGATTTCTGTGGAAAGCGACACCTTCTATATCACAAATGATTTCTTCAGAGTCTCAGAGCAGCCAAGAATTCGGACACCACTGCCAAAACTAACCAAGGAAGGAAGGCTTCAAGGGCTGGTCGTGTGGAAAACAAAAACACATAAGCTAGGTGTGGGGTGCACACCTGTGACCCCAGCGTTCTGGAAGGCTGAGGCAGGAGGATCGCCAGTTTGAGCAAAGCTTAGGTGAAATCCCATCTCAAAAACAAGGGGAGGGTGGGCCGGGATTTAGCTCAGTGGTTCTGCCCCCTGCCTTGCAAGCACAAGGTCCTGAGTTCGATCCCTGGTACCACAAAAAAAAAAAAAAAAAAAAAATTAAAAAGGGGAGGGGACCCAGGGATGTAGCTCAATGAGAAGGCCCTGGGTTCAGTCTCCAAGCAGAGGGGAAAAAAAGTAATTTCAGCACTAAGAGGCTGAGGTAAGAGGACTGCAAGTTCAAGTCCAGCCCAGGAAACTTTGCACGGCCCTGTCTTAAAATTTAAAAATGTGCTGGGGATGGAACTCATTGTGAAGGTGGGTTCAATTACCAATGCTTCGAAAAATATGAAACAAAAAAGGCAGGCTTTCAGGTGAAGGGCCCAGCTCCCGGATCCAGCCCTGCAGAGGCAACCATCACTGACACTGAAGGCCAAGACCTGAAGCTGCAAGGAAAGGGCCACACCCTCCCGACGCTGTGGGGATCCTATGGGCGACTTGCCCAGCCACAGGCTTGGTTTTAAGGGTACGGGAAAGCACATCATACATTCCTTCTACATAGTTTACAAGGCCGCTGAGGGACAGAAACTGACATGCGCAGAAAGGAGAGGAAATAACCAAAGCCCCAAGGCTCCCCTTCAAGCCTCGCTGGTGTCTGTCTGAAACCTGGGGTAGCAGTGGCTCCCAAATGTGCTGTTTCCCATACACACAACAGCTCTGCAGCCTACTGGGGGGGCTGTAGCAGTGCACAGTAACAGTCACCCGAATGTGGCCTCTCTCAACCTGTCATGCTCTGTCCTCACAGTGCTTCGTGCCTCCACCAGGGGACCAAGCAAACACAGCACAGGGGTCACTATGCACAGGCAGCGCACATGGAGACAGTAGCACTGGTGGCCGAGACCGCTACCCAGCGACCACTGGGCAGGCGGGGCACACGGCATGGAGCCCTGCGCAAAGGGTGATTCGGGCCTAACACTTGACAATTGTTTACTCTGGGAATTTTCCGCTCAGTATTTTTTAGATTGAAATTAATTGCAGATAATTGATACTCAGCAAAATCCTGGAAAAGGGCAGACCACTGTAGTACTAAGTTCAGAGCCCAATTAAAGTTTTATTTATTTAGTGCTTATTACTTAAGAGAAACATCCATGCAATAAAGAACAGCACAGAATGATCAAGGAGAAAATGATCACAAGAACTTGGAAGTCATTTGTCTTTTAAAAATATTTTGCTACTGTTACCCTCAGTGCCCTGAACAGAAACTGGAAACTCTTTGGCTATTTGCTCTTCAGAACTAGAAACCAGCAACCCTCTCTAAGAGAAGCTTTTATGCCCCTCCACACTGAGGATCGATCCCAGGGCCTCCGGGCTGAGCTCCACCCTCAGCCCTTTTATTTTTATTTATTTATTTATTTATTTTTGGTACCGGGGATTGAACTCGGGTCCTTGTGCTTGCAAAGCAGGCAGCGGAACCACTGAGCTAAATCCCCGGCCCAAGCCCTTTTATTTTTTGAGACAGGGTCTTGCTAGGTCCCAAAGTTGTCCAGGCTGGGCTCAAACTTGTCATCCTTCTCCCTCAGCCTCCCACAGTAGGATGCTGGGATTATAGGTGTGGGCCACCATGCCTACATTTTGTTGTTGTTGTTGGTACTGGGGATCTAACTCAGGACCTTGGGCTTGTGAGGCAGGCGGCGGCACCACTGAGCTACATCCCTGGCCTAGATTTTTTTTTTCAAGAGAAAAAGTCTCACTACATTGCCCAGGGTGACCTCAAACTCCTCAGTTCAAGAAAATTCTCCTGTTTCAGCTTCCAGAGTAGCTAGGACTAGAGGTACGTATCATTGTGCTGGCTGTGATTCTTTACTGAGTGGCTCTGGGAGAGAACAGAAAAAAGCTGAAAGCTGCATTCTGGGGAAAATGAACAGTTAAAGAATGAAGAGTTGGTCACAATGGTGCATAATTGTAGTCCCAGCTGCTCAGGAGGACGCTGAAGCTGGAGGATCACTCAAGCCCACAATTTTGAGATCAGCCTGGGTAACATATTGAGAAAAAAAAAGAAAGAACAAAGGGGCTGGGGCTGTAGTTCAATGGTAGAGCATGTGCTTAGCATGGGCGAGACCCTCTAGCTTCATGTTCAAGGACCAAAAGAGAGAATGAAGATTTTTTTTTTTTTGGTACAGGGGGGGATCGAACTCAGGACCTTACAGCACCACTAAGCTAAATCCCTGGTGAGAATGAAGATTTTTTTTAAAAATGTATGTAGGGAGTCCAGCATGGTGGCGCACACCTGTGATCCCAGCACTCAGGAGGCTGGGCCAAGGGGATTGCCAGGAATTCAAGGCCAGCCTGTGCTACACAGTGAGACCCTGTCTTTAAAAAAAGAAAGAGGACGTTTGTATGGTCACACCAAAGGAGATCTTAAACAACTATCCTTCGGCTGGGGATTTAGCTCAGTGGTTCCAGTGCCTGTCTCAAAAGCGCAAGGTCCCAAGTTCGATCCCCGGTACCAGAAAAAACCCAAAAAACCACAACTATCCTTGGCAAACAGCACAGGAAACAGTGCTGTTTTAAGTGAAATCCAGACACGTTCCTGGCTGGGGATGTGAGTGAGAGAGACTTCTAAGCGTCAAGCTGGCTCGAGCCATGGAGAAGACTGCGAGACTCTGCAGAGGAGGCACTGTGACACTCAACCAAGGCACTTCACAAGGACGGGGTGGGGGTGGGCTAAATCACAGGTCCTGAAGCTTCGTGGCTAAAAGAGCAACTTCAGGCCAGACTGCACCCCCGACTGGCTGAGCGGGCGAAATACGGCACAAACACAGTACCTGGGAAGCACTGCGGGGAGCAGGCTGAGCACGTGGAGTTGGAGGATTGTTAACAGGGAGAAGGAAGGTTTCAGAACCAGCAGGTGGCTTGGAGGTGCTGGGCAGCAGGGCACATGCAGTGGAGCCCTAGAGAGCCCAGCCACCCACTGCTGCTCCTCTCCAAGCAGCTCAGGTTCTCCAGGCCACTGACCGCGCCCTTCGCAGGGATTGGGATCCTGCCTCACCCATTCCAGCCCACTCAGTGTCATAGCTGCTGGCAGGGTCACATCGTCACTACCTCACATCTTACTAAACGCTGCTCATTTCTCCCTTGCTAAAACATGAAGTGAGGCCTGGATTGTTTCGATAAGACCCTGGTGTGTGACATGGGCCCAGGCCCTGGCAGGAGCTGAACTAGTATCGGCTTCTTGAGGAAAAAAAGTCACCAGAACAATGACACAGAGCCCTGGCAGGGAACGTGGTGACAATTAAGCCCAGGTCTGAGCCAGGTTTTGTTCCTAACTCACTGGCTTTAGGTAAATCATTTCACCTCTCCCAGCCCAGGCCACCTTACTCCTGAAACAAGGAAGTTGATTCCAAGGACTAAAGTTCTCTTCTTTCTTTTCTTTTTTTTTTTTCTTTCTGGTACCAGGAAATCCAGAACCTTGTACTTTCAAGGCAGGTGCAGCGCCGCTGAGCTAAATCCCGGGCTCTGTTTTGGGTTTTTTGAGGCAGGGTCTTGCTATGTAGTTCAAGCTGGCCTTGAACTCACTATTCAGCCCAGGCTGGCTTTGAACTCATAGCAATCCTCCTGCCTCAGCCTCCTGAGTGCTGGGATGACAGGTGTGCCTCTTTTTTTTTCTTGGCAGAAGTAGAGATTGAACCCTGGGCCTCATGTGTGCTAGAAAAATGCTCTATCACTGGGCCACATCCCCAGCTGCTTTATTCTTTTCAAGAAGTTTCTCTTGAATCAGAAGGGAGGTGGGTAAATGACAATGGGAGGTGGAGTCTGACTGGAGCACAGCATTGCTGGAAAATGAAACAAGCCAGGTGTGCTGGAGAGGACCAGGGTAATAGGCACACTTGTCATCCCAACACTTGGGAAGGCTAAGGCAGGAGGATTACAAGTTTGGCTCCAGTCTGGGCAATTTATCGAGACCTCGGCTCAGAAAAGAAAGAGGAAAAAAAAAGGCGGGGATGTGTTGTACTTCAGTGTAAAGGCCCTGGTACAGTTTCTACTACCACGCACGCACGCACGCACGCACGCACGCACGGAGGGAAGAAACAATCCCACAGCCAGAAAGTTTACTAAAGTGCAGAATGACAGCCACTTTGCCACAGTCTTTGAAGCCCCAAGATGTCACAAGTCAAGCAGAGGATGGGGGCTCACGGAAAGGGGATGGACTAAGGGATGGGGGAGGAAAAGTCACTAGTGGACAGACAGTAGGCGCTGGGGGATCTGTCCCCCAACCTCACTGGGGAACTGGTCCTGGAACCCAGATTCGCTATTTCACCTCGCAGGACCTCAAATCCTTAACCTCAGGCTCTGCCTGTGCCTTACCTTCCCACCCGATGTCCGCACAAACGGGGTCAAGAGACCTTCCAGACTTCCGGGTTAAGGGAAGGTGGCCTGCGATGCCCTCCTGGGTCTTCCTGGAGGCACACTTCAGCTTCCCAGGCGACGCCTGAACTGTCACTGTGGCCTTCTATTCTGAGTCATTGCCACTCCGACCTCCCTCTATCCTGAGTCACTGAGGCCGCGACGCAGACACCCAGGCCACTGTCACCCCGACTCCCCCATCCTGAGCCACTGTCACCCGACCCTCCCCACTTCGAGTCGCTGTCACCTCGACCCTCCCCTATCCCGAATCACTTCAGGTGGACGCGTTCACGTCGATGCTCCCGGGGCTGCAAGGCCCGGAGACCGCTCTGCAGGGTCTGAGTGGGATCCTCCCGAGAACTTGAGGATCTGGGGATCCTGCGGATCCTAAGCAGCAGCAACTTTCCCAGTCCCCTGAGGAGGGGGAGGTCCCGCAGCCCCAACTGTCACCAGAAACGGAAATAGGCGGAGGGCGAAGCCGCCGGGGCCCAGAGAGCAGAACGCGGGGTCCCGCCGCCCTCAGGACCCTGCGCCCCGGTCCCCGCCCGCCTGGGGCGCCGCACGGCGCCTGCCCCGCCCCGCCGCGACCCGTCCGCACTCACAGCCTTCTCCAGGTGGCTGCGCGCCTGCTCGCTGTTCTTGGTGTGGTGGTAGAGCACCGAGCCGAGCTGCAGGTGCGTGCGGGCCTCGATGCGCTGCGGCGGCTTGAAGGGGAACACGGCCTGCAGGCAGTGCACACACAGGCGGATCTTGGGCGGACTTGAAGTGCGGAAGTGCTCGGCGAAGCCCAGAAGTGCCAGGTACCACGACTCGGCCGCCTCGGCCTGTGCTGCCTGGGCCGCAGCAGCCTGGGCCGCTGCCGCCGCTTGAGCCGCCATTTTGGCCTTCACAACAACAAGCCGCCTCCACAGCGAGGCGGAAGCAGGCGCGCGGGGCGGGGCCGGGCGCCTCCCGCAGCCCACGCGAGATCTTCCTCAAAAAGGCTTCCTGGGATATGCAGTCTGTATTTACGGTTGGCCGCAGGTAAAGAAAGGTGGGACAAAGGGTAACACCCCTGGATCATCGAGACTGAGACTTTATATCCCCATTAGGCTGAGGCTTGCTCTTTTGGGGCGCAGACCACAGGTATTCGGCAGCAGCCGGAGTGGCTGCCCATTGCAGACTACGTCTACCATGAGGCCATGCGCACTATAACAGGTTATCCCGGGTGGCGCCTAAGCATTGTGGGATTGGATGAGTCTCAAAATGGACAACCGGGATGTTGCAGGTAACAGCCCCCGCCTCCCCTCAGGAGCTTGTCTGGGTCCTCCCGGCTGTGTGACGCGACTTCTCTCTCCTGTGGGTCCTAACCGGATCCGCCGTCCCCTCGCCTCGGCCCCTGGGCAGCACATAGTGGCGACTTCTGCACCGCTCTTTTCTGAGACCCCAGACCCAGTTTATTGGTCGCTCCTGCCTGCTGCGCTGAGGGCGCCCAGTTTTCCGTCAAGGCCGCCCCGAAGGCCAGCCCTATGCCAAAAACTTTCTTCAGGGCTGCTCTGAGGTCCGATGCCGGAAAGGGCGGCAGTCCTGCACCCCTCTTTGTAGCATCAGCTCTCTGGCCCGTGTCCCACTTTCTGAAAAAGCTGCCTTTTTGAACCGTTCGGGGGTCCCGGTACGGACGTTGTCAGGGCTTTTGAACCCACTTTTCCCCAAGTCTTGCTCTTTCTACGCCCCCAGAATAGGATGCGTTCATCCAGCTGGTAAGTGCTGTGTACCAGGCACTGTGCTGGGCGCCGAGGATCCAGCAGGCACCAATACAGGGCCCTCCTGTCCTCAGGTAGAAACTGGGGTGTCAGTGCACTAGCAGCAAATATTTACAAAGAGACGGTTGTGCTGATGTGAGAAGAGGGTGGGCAGGGAAGACCTTTTTGAGCAGAAGAATTTGAGATGAGAAGATGCCATCAGTGGAATGGCATGGAGGGCGGCCCTCTCCCCAGAGGTGAGGCAGCAAGTGGAAAGGCCCTGGGATGAGCTGTGTTTGTCCCTTTGAAGAATGAAATGGAAGTAAGGAGGAGAGATCTCTGACAAGGCTTGGAAAAACACCTTCCAGAATTTGGATTGTAGTCCCAGTGCCACTGGGAACAAAATTTGGGGTTGTCTTCACCATCTCAGGGGCTACCACCCTAGTCCAAAGACACCATCATCTTTTGTTTGAAGACTAAGCCTCCTTGGTTCTTCTCATTGCCTGTGTGCTCTTTCACCAAATGATCACCTAGTCACTGAAATGAACTTGAAAATAGAAAGACCCCTTGGATCTTGCTGCTAAACTGAATGTTCCCCTGTCACTTCTCAAACGTTTAAAGTGAAATCCAGACTCTCGTCCTGCCTCACCTCCACCTAGCCCTGGAGCAGCCTGCTCCGACCACACTGGGGCCCTCCCTGACCTCAGAGACACAGGGCTTCTTTCTGTCCTGGGATCTCGGCATCTGCTCCGTCCTCTATCCAAATCCCTCCTTTCTTTTTTCATGATGCTGCCTCTTTAAACTCCAGTTCCAACTTAAGTATCCTCTTCTGGTGATTATTTTCTGACTGCATGCCTGTATAGGTCCCTTTCTGTTACTGTCCCCCTTTTATGGTTCCAGCAGAGTTCTTACCATGATTTGCAGTTATTTGTTTACTTATTTTGCTATAGGTCTGTTGTCCCTGCAGGCAGGGGCAAGTACTGAATGGGCAAAGGTCTCATCTCTCTTGCTCCGCGCTTAGTACAGGGCCAGCTAGGTAGCAGGTGCTCTGTGTTTGCTGACTGCATGGAGGGCTAGATGTGTGACATCAATTGCTGGGTGGCCCATCCTGGATGTTTGTGGAGCTAAGGTGATTTGTGATCTGCTTCTCCCACCCCAGGAAAGGCAAACCGGTGGTTTGGGGTTGCTCCCCCCAAGTCTGGAAAGATGAACATGAACATCCTTCACCAAGAAGAGCTCATTGCTCAGAAGAAACGGGAAATTGAAGCCAAAATGGAGCAGAAAGCCAAGCAGAATCAGGTGGCCAGCCCTCAGCCCCCGCACCCTGGCGAGTGAGTACCTCCCAGGGCCTGCATTTCTCAGAATATCATGAGCAGAGGGTCTTGTGTGTGAGTGTTGGTGTGTGCCTGTAACTGGCCACAGCTTGAGGATACAAGGAATGCCCAGGGGCCCCGGGGAGTTCAGTGTGAGGAGAGAAATGAGCAGTGTGTAACAGCCTGGGGGCGGCTTGCCGACTCATGCATCAGCAGTTATTTCCGCCTCGCCCCCCCACCCCCCAGCTGTAGGGTGAGGGTCAGGCATGCAACGCACAGTGAAAACCCAGACTTCAGGCTGGAGTGTGGGTCTGTGGTGAGCGCTTGCCAAGCATGTGTGAAGCCTAGATTCCATCCCCAACACCATAGAGATAAAAAATAAAGCATCTAGCACTCTGTGGGGCTTCTAGCAGAGGGCTACCAATGCACCCCAGAGCTGGTGAAAGGCACTGTCCCCACACATAGCACCCACCATGGGGCCACCAAGAGGACTGGGTCAAACCAGGAAGGGGTGAGAGCCTGTGAGTATCAGGGTGGCCTGACCCCTACCCTCTGCCACAGGGTTTGTCACAGAGCAGGATTTCCTGACTGCTTGTCCCAGGGACACTGAGGGCACAGAGGACTTTTGTCATCTTTTAGGGGGTTGCAGTGCTGGGCTGGAACCCAGGGCCTGGGGCATTCTAGGCAAGTGCTCACCACAGAGCCATGTCCCCAGCCCGCACTGAGGGGTTTTGAGCAGGTCAAGAATCTCAGGCTTCCATTTAATGATCAGAGAGGTAGGCCCCTTCCTCTGGGGTCTGAAGCGAGGGATATGTTAACCTGCAAAGTTCTGTTTGAGCTCGTACCTTTTCCAGAGGCTGGGGCTTCTTATGAGGATGGGACTTGGACAGGGCCTGATACCTCCACAATGCTCGGCTACATTCACACTGGTTGTTGAGTGACTACTTGTGGGCCAGCTCACCTAGGGTTGGGAAAGGCCTACAGGGTTGCCTGTGTGAAGGTCTTCTGGAGGCCAAGGGACCACACCCCCAGGAATGGGCAGTGGAATTGGGGACATTGGGTGGGTAGGTACATAGCACAGGAAACTTAGGAAATAAGGTTGTTTCCCCACTGTGAAAGCCAAAACAGCAAAATCCAAGATTTATACCTGAAGAAGCCAGATGTGGTGGTGTATGCCTGTAATCTTGGCATCTGGAAGGGTGAGGCAGGAAGGTCCCAAGTTTGAGCCCAGCCTGGGGAACTTAGTAACTTAGCAAAACTTTGCCTCAAAAAAAGGAGGGGGCTGGAGATGTAACTGTAGTGCAAAGGCCCTGGGTTCAATCTTCAGTACTGAAAAAGCAGTTTAGGGTTGAAGTTAGGGTCAGTTTTATATTCTGGTTTCCCTCTAGTTTTTTAAAAAATATTTGTTATGGTAGAATATGAGTATGTGTAACATAAAATTTATCATAAGGTGAGGAGGTGGGGCTCAGTAGGCCATGGGTTCAGTCCCTGGCACCAAAATGGAAAAAGCCATTCTGTCATCTCCATGGGGACCATTTGGAACTGGAAGGGTGATGCTCAGGTAGAGGTAACCTAAGGTAATGAAGTGCATGCCATGAGCAGTTGTCCCTAGGTACCATTGAAAGCAAAGTTTGGGTCCCTCTAAGGGGGAACCCAGGGTGGGCACAGGGGTGTGGTGCTGGTCACTTTTCCCGTCCCTTGCTGGCTTACCCTCTGTCCTCATCTGGCTTCTAGAATTGCAAACGCACACAACTCCAGCATCTCCAACAAGTTTGCCAACGACGGTAGCTTCTTGCAGCAGTTTTTGAAATTGCAGAAGGCACAGACCAGCACAGGTGAGTACAGCCCATCCCTTACCCCTGTTACACTGAGAGTAACAGGTCCCACAGCAGACCTGTCTGGCTCACACTGAGTTTATCAAATGCCCTCATTCTGCCCATTACCACACCTGTACCAGGGGCAAGATCAGATCTGGCCCAAGCTGCCACCCAGTGAGCAGGGGCCAATAAGCCAGATTCCAATCAAGGAGCCAGGTGGGGACCCTTCCCCTGGGGCATTGGGCAGGGGTCAGGGAAGCCACCGGTGGCACAAGGGGCCACCTGCAGACAGGGCATGCACAGTGCCAGGCTGGCCTCAGACACCCTGGTTTTGGCTGAGAACAGCAGGCTTCAGGGTCTGCTGTGGTTGATACATAGGGCAGGCAGCCTGGAAGTAACTGGGGACCCCTGACTATTAGCACAGAGCAGTGGCATTTATTGAGCGCCATCTGTATACCAGGCTGCCTCAGTGCACATGGAGTCTCAGTATTCTCCCTGCCCAGAATTGATAGTGTAGATACCTTCTCATTTACATCTTCTAATTTAACTTACCTTATCTTATGTAATTAACTTACCTTTTAATTTAATGAGGAAAAACCCCACAGGAAGGTGGCCACACAAATTGTGTGGCCCAAATGCCTCCGTTGTCGTCCTGTCGCTCAAGCATTAGTGACAGCATTGTTTCGTTCCCTGCTTTTCTTTTTCACCCAGTGTGATTCTCTACCTTCCTGTCAGCACCCATGAATCTCTCATTGAGTTCAGCCCCCCTTACAGCAGGGAATCTGTGGCCCACATGAGGCTGGAAATCAAACCCAGCCTAGGGCACAGCCCGTGGGGGTGGGGTGGCCGCTTCACGATGCATCGTGTCCTGTGGGTCAGGAGGGCGTGGCTTAGAAGAGCCCACCTCCAGGCCTTCTGGACAGCACCCGGTGCGTCCCCTGGGGCTCCCCTCACCCTTGACGGCGGCTCTGATTTGAGGGATGGGACACTGTCCATCATTAGGTTGGGGGCCTCCTACCCCACAGGAGGACAGTGAGGTGTGCCGAGTGTGAGAATCTCCACCCCCACACGGGCCCCCTGCATCCGTGGGGTGCAGTTGACCTGTCTGAGGCTTTCTTTTCTGGTGAAACAGCTGACCTTTGACCTTTGCCAGGTTTCCTAGGGAGCAGCTGAGAGTTCAGTCCTCTGGAGGTGACAAAGGTTCACAGAAAGGGAGGACGAGCTATTTGAGGCCTTTTCCCCCAGGGTCTCAGGCTGAGAGCACCCAGAAGGCTGGCTCCACCTCCCCGTCTCAGTGGCAGTGGCTCATCTTGGGGTGCCCCTGAGCTGGGCTGGGGTCCAGATCTGAGCCAAAAGAGCTGAGCCGTCACCTGGCTCTTTGCTTTGTTGGTCTGGGAAGCCCAGGGCCGAAGCACTGGTTAGATGGGAAGGGCGGTGATGCTGGTGAGCTGCAGACCTGAGCGCGCCTCCTTCCTTCCATCCCAAGATCCACCCCCCAGCGCCACCCCTAGCATGCCCATCCCCAGTGCCAGCGCCAGCGCCGGGAAGAGGCCCCTCCTGCTCAGCAAGCGGGCGGGCCTGGGGCTGGGCAGCCCCCTGGGCCAGGTGAAGAACTACTCTCACGCCAAGCAGCTGCCGGTGGCACAGCGCCCAAGCGTCTTCCAGGCCCCCGACGAGGATGAGGAGGAAGACTACGAGCAGTGGCTGGAGATCAAAGGTAAGTTGTGAGGGTGCCACCCCCCTTCCCCTCCCTTCCATCGTGGTCACTGGGCCTCTGGGCTGAGCTGCTGGCCAGGGTGGGGCCCTTTGGGCTGAGGAGAGCAAAGGGGAGGGTGAGGTGTGCAGGGGCACAGCCTCGGGACTCTAGCAGCAGGGTGTGCTTCGTCCCACGAGTGATGGAAACCAACGTGGCCCATCTCAGGACAGCACTGGCACAGGGTGTCCTCATGTCCCTTCTCATCCAACACACGATGGGGACCACCTTCCTGGCACAGGTGGCCTGTCCCTCCCAGTCTGGGCAGGCTGAGGTGGTTCTTTCTCCCTGGGGAAAGGACCGTCCTTGGTGACCACGGAGGGTGGAGGGCAGAAGACAGCCGAGCAGCACTCCTGGCCACCTAGCCTGTGCATGTGCCATATGGGGCCCTGAGCCAGTGGAGGCCTGGGTGTCACCATCCGGTCACCCTGACAGCAAGGGCAGACAGAGGGGCCCTGCAGTGTGCGGTGACAGCCGCAGCACCCTTGCCCTGAGGGTGCCTGCTGCAGACTCCCAGAAGCCAGCCAGGCCCAGCAGTCCCCCGCCATGAGCCAGCAGCTGCGGGTGCTCCCTGTCAGGTCGGCTGCTCTGTGGGATACACAGGGCATAGCGAGGCCTGTGGGACCTGTTCCAGTCACCCCTGACATGGCCCCACAAGTGTACCTGCTTCCGGAAACATCAACGGGGTCCAGGCTCTCGTAGGGCATGTGGGAGGAGGGTGAGGCTGGGGGAAAGGCAGGCATAGGACGCCCCTGGGCCCTCCTCAGGCCATATATGTCCCTGCCCCCACCCCCTTAAGCTTCCCAGCAGCCCAAGCAGCAGAACAAATAAGATTGCTGCAGAAACCCGGCAGCCGGGTATAGTGGTGCACACCTGTAATCTCAGCATTTGGGAGGCTGGGGCAGGAGCATTGCTGCAAGTTCAAGGCCAACCTGGACTACATAGCGAGACCCTGCCTCCAAAAAAAATCGCTACAGATGCAGCACCTAGTTCAGTTGCCAGGTACCTTACCAGCTGACGAGAAATTTTTCCTGTGAGCTTCACAAAAGGGATGTGGTCTGTAGAGAGGCTAGCAAACTAGCCTCAGAAATGGGCCAGCAAGAAATGCGAAAACAGGTTCTGCACGGCTCAGATGGGGAGGCTAATCCATGTATAAAAATATATCTTTATAGCTCCGCTCCCTGCCAAGGCCCCGAGATAATGGTTAAGCCCGTTGCCGCGGGCATCCTAGCGCCCAGATGGTCTGGAGCAGTTTCTCACTGACGGAAGCCAGGACTTCTTGGAGAGCTGGCTGGCTCTAGGTGTGGGCAGGAAGTGTGTGAGATGACCCCGAGCTCTTGGGAGCCAGCCGGAAGAGGCTCCGCCAGCCACGGAGCGTCTGAGGACGTTGATGGCAGTGGATTGAACCCACCCAGAGTGTCTAACTCAGAGTTCGTAATGCTAATTGTAAAAGAGAATTTGTCACCTTTGAAGGATGGAAGGGAACCGATGTGTTACACTGAAAACTGGCAAATAAAGAAAAGAATTAAGCGTTTCCCTTCCACCACCAGCCCCCAAACCCAGGCCAGCAGGGGAGGCCGGATATGGTTCCGCATGCTCCCTCTGCAGCCCAGGGATGGACTCAGGCCACGATCGGCCCTCGCACCCCTCACCGACGCTCTGTGCCTGGACCGACCGAGACGCGGCGACCTCGGCCTGTCACCTCTTCTCCCCACCCCTCCGTCGTGGCCTGAGCCAGAGCGCGCCTATTGACTGTGGGGTGTGGGAGTGGAGCCCCAGTACTGACAGCCTCCTTAAAGTTTCACCCCCAGAGGGAGCCGAGACTCGGAAAGTGATAGAGAAATTGGCCCGCTTTGTGGCAGAAGGAGGCCCCGAGTTAGAGAAAGTAGCTATGGAGGACTACAAGGATAACCCAGCATTTTCGTGAGTATCACTTGCTGCACGGTGTTGCCCACACTCGGATGTGTCTGTGACCCTGTCCTGGTGACCAGGTTGGCACTGAGCTGAGCACTTGGGTTCACACCCCAGGTCGCTGTGGCTCCGGGTGCTTCTGCATGGGAGAAACTGCCTGATGGGGAAACCCGCCCCGAAGTTCACCTTCCACCCCGCCGCAAATCTCTTCCTCTCCAGATTTTTGCACGATAAGAATAGCAGAGAATTCCTCTACTACAGAAAGAAGGTGGCTGAAATAAGAAAGGAAGCACAGAAGTTACAGGCAGCCCCTCAGAAAGGTAGGTGGCAGAGGGGAGGGAGGCTCCGGGGAGGCGCCCCAGGTAAATGGGGCTGCAACCTCCTGCAGCAGGGGCACTGGGGCTGGAGTGAGACCGCCCTCTGCACCGGGAAACTGCACCCCAGCCTTCCCTCAGGGCGCTCTCAAGAGGGTCAGGGCCAGGTCCTGAAGCTGGGCTCAGCACAGGAGGGACCGAGGAAGCTCGGGATCCTCACAGGAACACCTGTGCTAGGTGCTGAGCACATAGCCGTGCCTGCTGCTGGGGGCTCAGGGAAGATGCAGCTGGGGGACTGACAGTGCATTTCGGGGAGCGGGGTTGCCGGCCAGTCTCCAGCTTTAATGGTGTAAAACCTCAGCCAAGTGCTGAGGGGCGGCAGGGGTTGATGTTCAAACTGGACTCACAAGTCCACAGCCCTTGACACTGCCCTCTCCCCAGGAGAGGAGGGTGGGCCCCACTGCCATGCGGCCCGGGGGTGGGTGGTGCCTGCAGAAAGGCTAGGGCAGGGGCTCCCACTTCCCTGCCCAGCCCAGACCCGCATGCTGCCCTTAGGGTGGTGGGAGGTGGGCACTGGGGTGCACTGTTGTATTGACTCTGGTTTGGTCCCAGTGCAGTAATCTGATTCCCGTTTGCCTGTTTCTCTCTGCCTCGTTCCTAAAATGTGCCCACGCGTTGGCCTCGGGCTCTTAGCAGGAATTAGGCTGTTGGGTGTGGTGAGTTGAGCTCAGTACTGACAGCCTGCTTAAAGTTTCACCCCCAGAGGATGAAGAGGTCAAGAACCTCGCAGAAAAGCTGGCCAGGTTCATAGCAGATGGGGGCCCTGAGGTGGAAACCATCGCCCTCCAGAACAACCGCGAGAACCAGGCCTTCAGGTAAGGGGTGAGCTCCCTGGCTGTGCAGGATGCTGCACCGTGCTGCAGGAGGCCCCAGAGCCCGGCTCTGCTGCTGCACAGGCGTTTGCCAAGCAGCATCAGCCCTAGGTGTTGCTGAGGCCTGCGTGTTCCAGGTGCCCCGTGGGCATCTGCCTGCGCCCTCTGTAACAGATGGCAGGCCTGGCTCTCAGGTGCATATTCACGGGAACACCTGGGCCTGCTGGGATAGGGTAGGGAGCTGCTGCTAACCATGTGTGTCCCTCAGTATTTCTGGGGTTTGGGGATGTTTCCTGGTCCTCGTTTACTGTCTTTGTGTTCCTAGGGTCTCCCTTTATCATGAGGGGACTGGCAGGGAATGGGCTTCTAAAGAGTGGGAACCCTGCCTGTGTGTGGGGCCCACAGAGGGACAGGTGACAGACAGCCCCTGCTGACCCCAGCCCTGTGGTCTCCCTCTACCCTGAGGCTGGGCCTGGCTTCCTTTGCTCATTCATCCGTCGGGAAGGCTCAGTGCCTGCTCTGGACTGGAGAGGCTGGTGGCCCCTGGGAACTGCCACTGTCCTTGCTGCAGGGCAAGGCCGCAGGGGTGCTCGGGGATGCTGTGGCACGGGTGGCCTCTTGTGAAGTGGGGGCTGACTCAGTAAGCAGATGGGCCGGAGCGTGCAGCAGGAGGTGTAGCAGCAGCAGCCCCAGGGCTCTTGATCTACATGTCATCGGCTCCAGGCATCGTGACCTCGGCCTGGTGTCCCTGCCTGCCAGTTGAGAGCAGCTGCTGTACAGGAGGGGAGAACAGAGACCTCGGGCGCCATGCCCAGGTGGTCGGGGTGCAGATGGGTGCAGATCCAGGGGACCGGCTGTGCCTCCATGGCCTTGGCCAGGCTGTGGCTAGGTGGAGAGAAGTGGGCAGTTGCTGGGAGGCAGGGCTGAGGGGACCTGGGCTGGGCACAGGGAGGGCCAGGGCTCAGGTGACTGGGGAGAGCCACTCCCACGTCCGGTACCCAGCAGCCAGAGCCCCAAATCAGGTTTGTGCTGAAGGCCATTGATTTGTTGGTCACAAGTTTGGGCCGCCAGTGTTAGTAGTTTGTGTTGTGGGTGTACTTGGGATTGAACACAGGGCCTTTGCCCTGAGCTACACACCAGCCCTTTTATTCTTTGAGACAAGTCTCAATAAGTCACTAAGATGGCCAGGCTGAACATGAACTTGCTACTCTCCTGCCTTAGCCTCCCTGGTACTGGGATTACAGGCTTGCCAGGTGTGCCCTGCAAATAGTCTAAGATCAGTGATGCCGAACCTTTTAGGTCTTTTCATGGTAACAAACAGCCCACTGCGTCACTTGTGCTATAGGCTTGCCACCAGTGTCTTAAGTTGCATCTTCTCTCTGTTTGCCTAACTAAGCTTATTTAAATAAGAAGCTTAGTTTATTTTCACTCACTGTACTTGGGCACGACTGTGGAACTGTGTTCCAGGGGAAGTGGGTGAGGTTAAGGGACTCCGTCCACGGCCTGAGCCCAGGTGGTCTCCTGGCGTCACAGCTGAGGGCACCTGTGCAGCTTCCTGTCTGCTTGGGGGTGGCAATGGTGGGTGCCCAGCTCATTGGCAGAGCTAAGGTAGAAGCTGGCACAGAATGGGGCTCTGGGTAGCCGTGGCACAGTGGCTGTCAGGCACGTCTTCCACTCACCTCTTAGACCAGAGCTGGTGGTGTGGGGGGGTGGGCAGCAGGGCATGCGGGCTCACTGAGTGGGCTGGTTTGTCTCCACTCAGGGTGCCAGGCAGCCCCAAACCCTGAGGGCCGGGGGGCACACGTGCTTGGCCACAGCTCCCTGTCCCAGGCCCAGCAGCCCCTGGTGCTCCTGAAGTGAGTGTAGCAGCCAGGAGCATCCACAACGTGGCCTGAAACCCTGTCATGGGCAGCGTCACCCACAGCCACGAGAAGTCCGTAGCAGATTGCTTGTCTGACTTCAGGTGGAAAATGCCTGCCTGTGTGTCTCTAGGCACCCAGATCTCAGGCCCAGGCAGCCTGGCACGCTGGGGTCTTACAGGCGAGGAGACTGAGGCAGGAAGGCTGGTTGGCGGCACATGTCTTCTTCGCTGCTCTCATGGCCTGGTGGTCAGCTTTCCATCACGGTAATAGAATCCTTGAGATTGGCTCTTTTGTCCAGGAAAGAGGTTGGAGACTGGGAAGCCCAAGACTGGGTGTCTACATCTGGCACAGGCCTTGTACTATGGCAGCTCGAGGTAGAAAGCCCGTGGAGGGAGCGCTTCTAGAGGGAAAGGCGCCTGTATTCTGGCCCTGCTGCCAGTGCTAGCATGGTGGCCTCCCTGCCTCCACTGAGCATATTCAAACCATGGCACGTGCGAGGGCGTATGTGTCAGGTTAAGGGAGGCGCTTTTTAAATATCCAGATACATTAAATAGGTGAAGAGGATCGTAGTGCATTGAGAGATGAACCGGACTGGACAGCGAGACCCCAGTGACCCTGGTGACTGTCCATGGGCTCAGGGCGGGGTGCAGTCTGCATGCCCTAGGCTGTGGACACTGTGACTCACTGCAGACAGGCTGGCCCAGGGCAGCCAGGTCAGCCTGATGCTTGCAGCGCTTAGAGGAGGAGAAAGGTGTGGCAGCTCAGGAGCTCAGAGGGTCTGGTCCAGGTCTGCTCGGCCAGCTGGCTCTAGGGCAGGAGCCTCATGGCAGAAGGGCACGGGGGAGGACAGCTCACCTCCCAGGTAGAGAGCCAGAGGGAATCTGCCCTGAAAGCTGTGCCCCACAGCCCAGCCCCTCTGACGGTTCGCACGCATGGGCCATCCCAAGCCAAGGATGGCAGACCCGCGACCTCTCTGAACTCTCCTGGCTGGGGTGTCTTTTCAGATCTAGCCATGTGCTCTTTGCCCTTCTTAGAAACTTTGTGAGGTTTTTAGTTTGTGTGTTTATTGGTTTTCTGGTTTTGTTTGGAGAGACAGGGTCTCACTGTGTTGCCCAGGCTGGCCCTGGACTCCTGGGCCCATGCTCCTCCTGCCTCAGCTGTCTGAGTAAGTGGGATTACAGGCATGCATCACCATGCCTGGCGTGCACATTTCTTTACTTTTGTCTCTTAATTTTTACAAAGGTCCCTCGCTGGGTCATGTCTGGACCATGACCCAGGTCGTGGCACGTGCCTGTAACCCCAGCTACTCAGGAAGCTGAGGCAGGAGGAACGCAAGTTCAAGGTCAGCCTGGGCAACTTAGTAAGACCATGTCTTAAAAACAAGCTGGAGGGGCCGGGGATTTAGCTCAGTAGTTCCGGCGCCTGCCTCACAATTGTAAGGTCCCAAGTTTGATCCCCGGTACCAAAAAAAACCCAAACAACAAAAACAAGCTGGAGCTCATGGTAGAGCTCCCTTCGATCAGTGCAGTAGGAAGGTGGGGGAGGCTCAGAGACCACCAGAGAGGCCGAGGACAGGTCACATTGTTCCCACGCTGGGTCTGCCAAATTCTGAGTCCAGCAGAGGCGAAGGGTGGTAGAGACCACAGCCCTGAAGTGCGGCTAGCGCTTCGGCCCCGCTGAGCATGTCCCCATCACTGTCCTCCGCAGCTTTCTGTACGAACCCAACAGTCACGGGTACAGATACTACCGGCAGAAGCTGGAGGAGTTCCGGAGAGCCAAGGCTGGCTCCCCTGGCACCCTCTCAGCACCCGACCTCGGCCCGAAGCGCAAGTCCCCTCCCGATGCCCTGGCGAGGCCCTTGTCCCCAGCCACCACCTGCCCTGCCTCCGCCAGCCCCGTGCCTGCCGTGCTCCCTGCCCCAGCTGTCACTGGGAAGCCAACCTCAGCCTCCACAGCCACTGCCAAGCGGAAGCGGAAGAGCCGGTGGGGCCCCGAAGAAGACAAGGTGGAGCTGCCGCCCGCTGAGCTGGTACAGAAGGACGTGGACGCCTCTCCCACACCCCTGTCAGGTGGGCCTGGCTTCCCCGCTGATCATGTCATAGCATGCACCACTGCAGCGCTCAAGGCCAGCCTGAACTACTGTCTCAAAGAAAATAGTGTCCTTGGAGACCAGGAAAGTTTTAAGTTTTTTTTTTGAAAGTTTTAAGTTTTAATGAAGTCCAATTTTTCAATGTTTTTTTTTTTTTTCTTTTTTCTTTTGTACTGTGGATCAAACTCCGGACCTTTCGCTTGCGAGGCAGGTGGTGGAACCACTGAGCATAAATCCCTGGCCCTTTCAATTTAGGTCTTTAATCCTTTTGTGAATGATGTAAAGGTTCCAACTTCCTTCCTTTGCATAGAGATGTCCCGTTTTCCCAGCAGCATTTATTGAAGAAACTTCTTTTCCTATCGAATGACGCACTTGTGAAAAATCACTTGGCCATGGACACAGGCTTATTTCCAAGATCCCGGTGCTGTTACATGGCCAGTGTCTGTCCTGACGCCAGCATCCTGCTGTTTGATTGCTGTAGCCTTGCAGTAACCGTGAAAGCACGAATGCATCTTCTACCTTCCTTCTTCTTAATGAAAACTACTGTAGCAATTGGGCTCCTTTGAGTTTCCGAATGACTTTATCCATTGATGGATGGGTGGATGGAGTGTTGGTGCTGGTGCTGGAACTGGAATTGGAACTCACGGCCCAGCTCGGGCAGCTCTCCCAGCACCACACAGAGCAGATGTGAGTTCAGATGGGCTTTTGATCTGCAGATACTGTTGCGATTTTTGCAGGGATATCTGTGGGTCACTTTGGGCAACATTGACACCCTAAGGATCTGTGGACACAATACCTTTCCATCTATTTCTTTCATCTTTAATGTTTTTCAACAAGACTTTGTAGTTTTCATTGCATAAGTTTTGCAACTCTTTGGTTATGTTTGCTTCTAAATGATTTGTTCTTTTTTGCTGCTGTTGTAAATGACACTGTGTTTTTCAGTTTTTGGATTCCTTTCTAGACAGTTGATTTTGGCATGTTCATTTAGCATCCTGCAGCTTTGCTAAATTTAGCAGTTCTAACAGGTTCATGTGTGTGTTCTTTTTAACGTTTTCTGTTTCTGATTTTGTTAACCGGGTGTTGCTCGGGTGCCCAGGCAGGACTGGAACCTGCACTCCTCCTGCCCAGCCCCTGAGAAGCAGATGTGACCATCACACCTGGCCACGGATTCTTTAGTTTCTCCATACACGATTGTGTCATCTGCAGTAGGGAGTTTTACTTCTGTCTGTCCAGTCCTGGTCCTTCTTACTACTTTTTCTTCCCTGATTGCTCTGGCTAGACTTCCAGAACCATGGGGACTGCAAGTGGCCAAAGTTGGCATCTCCATCTTGTTCCTGACACTTGAGGGAGTGAGGTCGGGTGCTCACCGTGGAGTGTGACATCAGCTGTGCCTTCTGTTCAGTGCCAGCGATGGAGCCACAACTCGGGAAGGGCCTTTGTGGAGTTGAAGAAATTCCTTTCACTGCAAATTTATTGAGTGCTTCTGTCATGAAAAGGTCTTAAATCTTGTCACATGCTTTTTCTGCATCAGTTACAGTGGTCCAGTGCTTCTTCCGCCTTCTTTCTGTTAATGTGGTCTGTTGCATGGATTGGCTTTCCTGTGTTAAACCGTGCCTGCATCCCAGGATAAATCCTGCTTGGTCACAGTGTGTACTCCTTTTAATAAGCCGCCAAATTCATTTTCCTAGCATTGCACAGAGGATTTTTGCACCCGTGTTCTTGAGGAACATTGGTCTGTGGATTTCTTATACCATCTTCATCTGCCATTGGCGTCAGGGTGCTTTGCTCTCTGGGTTTTTGGAAGAGTTAGAGACTCGGTGTTACTGCTTCTGGTTACTGATTCAGTCTTGTTATCAGTCTATTCAGATGTTCTGCTTCTTCTTGAATTAGTTTTGGTAGCTTGTATGTTTCTAGGACTTTTTCTTCTTCACTAGGTTGTCTAAGTTATTGTCCTATAGTTATTTAAAGGAGTCTCTTTTAGTCCTTCTTGGTTGATAATTTTTTTCCAGTTTTAGTCATTGAGTTTCCTCTCTTTTTCTTGGTCAATCTAAAGATTGTCAACTTTGTTGTTCTTTGCAAAGAACCAACTTTTGGTTTCACTGATTTTTCTCTCATTTTGATTCCCTATTTGATTTATTCATATGCTGATCTTTTATTACTTCCTTTCTTATGTTAGCTTTGGATTCCATTGCTGTTGTTAAGATAATTAACTTTAGTTTCTTTTATATTTCTAAACCTTAATGTCTGTAAACTTACCTTGTATTAGTAATTTCCATTTCTTTTACTGTGCTGGGGATGGAACCTGGGGCCTCATGTGCTTTGTAGGCAACTGTTGTACCACTGAGCTACACCCCAGCCCAGGTTATCAATTTTAACTCTTTTAGTATGTGCAATTGTAGCTATAAATTTTTGTTTTTTGGTTTTTTTGGGTTTTTTTAGGGGATTTGGGGGTTTTTTGAGACAAGGTCTCATTATGCAGTCCAGGCTGATCTTGAACACACTAAGTTGCCCAGGCTGGCCTTGAACTCAGTGATCCTCCTGTCTCAGCCTCCCAGGTACTGGAATTACAGGCATGCACCACAATGCCCAACTTGTATCAAACTTTTTGTCAAAATACAACATTCTCTTGGGCCGGGGATTTAGCTCAGTGGTGTCACACCTGCCTCACAAGCAAAAGGTCCTACGTTCAATCCCCAGTACTGAAAAAAAACACATTCTCTTTGTCTCTAGTGACCTTTCTGTCTTAAAGTCCATCTTGTCTGACCCTAGCATAACAGTCTCAGCTCTCTCTTAGTGACTTTTGCATGAAATAATCTTTGTCCGTCCTTTCACTTTCAGCCTACTGGGGCTGAAGTAAGTCTCTTGGCCATGGCCTATGGATGGATCTTGTTATCAGCCTTAAATTTTAAGTGCACGGCTGCTTTTCTGTCATAGAAAGCTTAGGAAATGTGCGACGAGAAGCACAGTGCCCACCATGTTCAGTTTTTCCCGATCCCTTCTGTAACACAATCACAGGGACACCTCCCTGCCCAGTGTGGCCTCCCCTCCTTTCCTCCCCCGAGCCCACAAGGGCGCCATCTTCCTGCAGATAAGGACAGGCCGGTGAGAGAGCCTCCCCTGCTGTCTGTCCTCCCCCACCACACGCACAGCCTGCACTGTGGCAGGAACAGCACAGCTTGACAGGCCGGAGCCTGGGGGAGTCGCACGCACCCTCTTCCTGGGCACCAGGGCCAGGAGACGGCTGCCACTCACCCAAGACTTGTGGCTGGGATCTGAGCCCACCCCAGCCAGGGCCTCAGATGTTCCAGGTGGAGAAGAGCTCCCGGGTGAAGATCCCAACACTGTACTTGTAGGGGCTCTAGAAAGCAGCTCCAGCCAGGATTCCCGGACCTCACTGGGTGCTGCATCTGGGTATACCCAGCTCTTGAGAGGCCTGGGCAGGCCCCTGCTGAAATTGAACTCCCTACCACCACAGCCTGGGCTCTGAACCTCCCCAGGGGCCGGGCAGGAGGAGAGGACTGTAGGCACATGCCAGGACAGACCCCCAGGGCTTCCTGTGTTCCCCAAGCCTTCCAGGAAAGGGCCAAGGAGCAGCTGTGCATGATTCTTTTTTGTGTGTGCGCAGAACTGGGTGTGGGGTCCAGGGCTCAGAGCAAAGCCCAGCCCCTGCTGCTTAGCTTCTTCCTGGCAGCCCCTGCCAAGGGTGGTGGTTTCCGCCTCCCAGGTGGGGCTGCTGCAGCAGCTTCTCAGGAATCAGCGTTGCTGGCTATAGCCCAGTCCCCAGCTGAAGCAAACTTCAGTGTCAGCAGCTCTGCGCATGGCTGCCTCCCTCCCCCAGGAGCAGTGTGCTGGGCTCTGGCAATGACAAGGCTGCCTGCCAAGCATCAATGTGCGCAAGCCTATGACACACACGTGCCGTCACATATCTCAGCCCTGTCTCTGGCCTTGCAGAGTCCCTGCCCTGTCACCCCTTAGCTGTGTGACACTGAGGCCTCTGAGGTGTGGTGTCAGCATCTGCATCCAAGGTGATACCAGGGGTCACGAGGCCATGAAAGGTGGTGGCCCTCCCAGCACCAGTATGGCCCCCGAGGCTCTCAAGATTCAGGGTGCAGGGGCCAGGGATTTAGCTCAGTGATTCCGAAGCCTGCCTTGCAAGCACAAGGACCTGAGTTCGATCCTTGGTACCAAAAAAAAGATTCAGGGTGCTGCTGGCCAGGCCCTGAGGCCACGGTCCCTGCAAAGCCTGTGCCAGCTGCCTTGGGTGCTGTGACCCCGTACCCAGGCTCAAGTGTGGGTGCCAACTGCCTTTGTCTCCCCTCTCCAGTGCAGGACCTCAAGGGGCTTGGCTATGAGAAGGGGAAGCCCGTGGGCCTGGTGGGTGTCACAGAGCTGTCAGACGCCCAGAAGAAGCAGCTGAAGGAGCAGCAGGAGGTAAGGCCACAGGGGCTGGGGACCCAGTAGGTGGCAGTGGGACATCATGGGCTCACCATACCTGTGTGCCTGGGCACAGGGAGCCAGGGCCCGGCTGCTCTATGCCACACTGGCCTGCAGCTGGGCCCAGAGCCTGGGGCTTCTCCTACCCTCATTCAGGGTAGGGCTGGGCTGGGGGAGCACTGGGCAGAGACGCTGGTGTCCAGCTCACCTCTGACCACATGCCCGCTCCCTGGCCTCTCCAGATGCAGCAGATGTATGACATGATCATGCAGCACAAGCGTGCCATGCAGGACATGCAGCTGCTGTGGGAGAAGGCACTGCAGCAGCACCAGCATGGCTACGACAGCGATGAGGAGGTGGACAGCGAGCTGGGCACCTGGGAGCACCAGCTGCGGCGCATGGAAATGGACAAGACACGGGGTGCGCAGGTGCAGGGCACGGGCAGGGAAGCCACACACGGGTCCCCGGGCCCTTCTCACAGTGCCACTTGGGCAAGAAACCCAGCCTCCGAGGGCCACGGTTTCCTCAGTGTGGAAGGAGGCACAGAGCCATGCCGGATCCCTGTGTGTGGCCCGGGGACCCTGAGGGTCTCGGGCACCCACTGCCACCTCCGCCTTCTCCACTCACACCCCTGCCTTTCCTGGCAGAGTGGGCCGAGCAGCTGACGAAGATGGGTCGGGGCAAGCACTTCATTGGGGACTTCCTGCCCCCTGATGAGCTGGAGAAGTTCATGGAGACATTCAAGGCCCTCAAGGTGAGCCCATCCAGTGGCTGGGGCCACCTGTATGTGATGGACACCGTCTGCATAGGGATCTGCAGGGGGAGTCAGCTGCCACTCCAGTCAGCGCTGGTGCAGGGGAGCTGGGCCTCCAGTCTGGGCGGCTCAGATCCAACTCTGCCCTCGGAGTCCCACCAGCCTCAGGGTGCGGCCAACACTGGGATGCAGTGCCGGGCTTCCAGGAGACACGGCTGGGGCCCGCGTCTCCTGTGGGCTCTCCCAGGGTTCTTTTAGGAAACTGTACCCCAGAACCTCAGCCAACAAGGTGGTAGCCTCATTGGCCACAGCTTTTTAATGCTTGGGAAAAATTGTTCCTGGGATGGGCACTGTAGTGTGTGCCTGTCGTCCCAAGCGTTTGTCTTGTTTTTTGTTGTATGTAGTACTGGGGATGGAACCCAGGGCTTCACACTGGTCTGTGTCCTCAGCCTCTTTTTTAACCTTTTTTTTGGGTACCGGGGATTGAACTAGGATCCTTGGGCTTGCAAGGCAGGTGGCGCAACCACTGAGCTCAATCCCTGGCCCTTTTTTAAGTTTTTACTTTGAGACAGGTGCTAAGTAGCTTAATGATGGCCTAACAATGAAGCGTTAGTCTTTCTCACAGTGGACAGCCATCGCACTCGCCCCCGTGCCCCTTTTGACCTGGCTGCCAGGGAGGTCAGCACACTGAGGGCCCGGGATGAAGATTTTGATGACTTGGGGAGGAGTCTGGCCTGGTGGGAGCGAGGCCAATGGGCAGGCGGCCGGTGTGGGGTGAGGTCCAAAGCAGTGGGCAGATCTGTGAGGCAGAGCCAGGGCCCAGGGTGACAGCCACCTCCTCCCCTGCAGGAGGGCCGGGAGCCCGACTACTCAGAGTACAAGGAGTTCAAGCTGACAGTGGAGAACATCGGCTACCAGATGCTCATGAAGATGGGCTGGAAGGAGGGCGAGGGGCTGGGCTCCGAGGGCCAGGGCATCAAGAACCCCGTGAACAAGTGAGTGCAGGGTGCGCCTCCCCTCAGGGTGACACCAGCCCCACCCCTCTGCCTCACCTGCAGACAGGCTGCCCGGGGCCCCTTCCCCAGCCCTCATGAATTCCGTTGCCAAAGCCAGCGAGGCGGGCGCTCTGCCAGCTGGGACCCTGCCCACAGTGCACTCCCTCTCGCCCGCCTGCCCGCAGGGGCACCACTGCAGTGGACGGCGCCGGCTTTGGCATCGACCGGCCGGCGGAGCTCTCCAAGGAAGACGACGAGTATGAGGCCTTCCGCAAGAGGATGATGCTGGCCTACCGCTTCCGGCCCAACCCCCTGGTGCGTGCTCCCGCCCGGGCCGCGATTTCCCATGGTCCCGGGGAGGGGTGCAGCAGAGGCCCCTCCCTGCCCCAGTGCCCCAGGCTCAGCTGGGCCAGGGTGGGAGGAAGCTGCACCGTGCACGTTGACCCCACTCGTGACCTTGGCTCCCACAGAACAACCCCAGGCGGCCCTACTACTGACCGAGCGGACGACACAGCCTGTTCCCAGTGACCAGCCCGCCCTGTGGAGCAGCTGGCCAGCGTTTCCTCCTGCCTCTCGGTGTCACCAGTTCCGTTCTGTGTATTAAAGTCCCAGTGCTCACCCACCCCACAGCCTGGTCCCCGTCCCTTCCCAGTGGGCCGGGCTGGGGAGGCAGGGCAGGGCAATGGCTTGGAGACCCCAACACCCCAGGAATGCAGGGCACAGCCTGGCCCTCGCCTGGGGGGGCGGGCCTTCATCCCCGAAGGCCTGGGTAGCAGTCGAAGGGGCCGACCCATGCAGCCCCTCTCCTAGGGCACAGGGACAGCTGCCCCCCAACAGTAAACCTGGAGGAGGGGCAGCCGCCAGCCCCTAGTCACCCCTGGGTATGAGGGATGTCTGTCAGGGACCCCAACCTAGCCCCACGGCAGGATGAGGGGAGGCCTCCAGGCAAGTCAACCCTCTGTCAGCCACACCTGTGTCCCCAGCAGTTGCAGGGCTGCCCCTGCTCCTGCTTCTACCGCTAGGGTGGGCACACAAGCCCCTGGGGCTTGCCTCAGGGCAGGTGTGAGGGCAGATGGATCAAGCTGCAGGGCACATGGCCTGAAGGGGTCACCATCTTGTTCTGTAGCTGCTCTGTCCCAGGATGGGCGGGGCCTGGGAATCTACATTCTCCCACCTCTGGGGTCTCAGCCCTGAGTCTCCCCACCTGCCTAGCAGCTGCCCCACCACTGGGAACCAGGGGCTCCAGCTGCAGTCACACAGTCACTCGGCAGACACAGGGCACTGATTTGGAATCAGGACAAACCGGTCTGGGACGGAGTCAAGCTGGGCTTCCGGGCTGTGAAAGCTGCCAGGAGGAGCCAGCCAGGAGATGGCTTGGGACGAGACAGTGAACTTGGGGATGGGAGTTCTGGCCCAGGCCAGGCCGTCCTGTTCTCTCCGGGTTCAGGGCTGGCAAGGCAAAGTGGTGACACGGGTGGGCCCTGCCCAGCCCAGCCCAGCCCAGCCCAGGTCACAGGTCACAGGTGTCCTGGGCACACAAAGATGGAGGAGGCGGGGCCCCTGGCTTGGCCCCAGGCACCCTGTCCTCCGTGGCCTCTCCACTGAGGCTCACTGACCTGGAGGCTGGCCAGAATGGGGCATGGACTTTGCCCCGGTCAGGGCCAGAGGTGGCCTCCACAGGCGGCGTGCGGTGTGTGCAGACTGGAAGCTGGGGTGGAGCTCAGCCTCCAGGAACCTGAACTTCACCCCCAGGTGACAGGGCACCCGGGGACAGAGGCGGAGTCAGACCTGGGCCTGAGACCCCCTTGTGGCACGGCTCAGACTGGGACCTGGCCAACGAAGTCGAGGTGAAGGGTTCAAGCTGGCCCCGGCCCCGGGGGCCAGGAAGCAGGTGGGCATCACTCACCTTGCTGTGGGCAGCAGCCACGAGTTCCCCGCCTGGGCGAGACCTCATGCAGACTGGAGTGGGGGCCGACACAGAGGCCCTAGTTCCCACCCGCAGCCGTGCCCAGGCGGTGCCCTAGAATGCACCTCCTGCCATCCCCGACTGGCCCTGCGCCTGAGCCTCAGTCCGTTCCCCAGTTGACTCCATCTGGACCTAATTTCCGACCCACCTCCCACCTCTCCCTCACCGAGGGGCCCGACCCCGGCCGCCTGCTAGGAGCTCCCACCCAGTCAGCTTCGCTGCCGTGCGTGGTCTGACCGCTGCAGCCGCTGGCAGACACTTGAGTCCCAGAGTGCGCACTTGACCTTGGGCCGCTGAGCCGAGGGGAGTGGGGCTAGAAAGTCCCCTTTAGGGAACCTTAGGGATGTGGTGTAGCTCAGTGGCAGGGCGCTTGCCTAGCATGCTTGAAGCTCTGGGTTCCAAACCCAGCACCAAAAAAGCCCCCTTAGAGGTCGACGTTGGGGGTGCCACTTTGTCAGGACAAAGAAGGCACAAGTGCACCCCAACCCCAGCCACGGGTGGAAAGAAGCCTGGAGGACCAATTCCGACGCCTCTGGGACGCAGCCCGGGCCTCTGATCGCGAGTGTCCTGTTCCTGCCTTCGATGGAGTGGGAAACTGAGGCCTGGGAGCCGGGGTGCAGAGGGGGTGGGGCGGGGCGGCCGCCGGGGGCGGGGCTTCGGAGGCGCCCCGGGGACACGCTGGGCGCTCGGTCTGCGGTGGGGCCCGGGCGCGGCGGGGGCGACCTTTGCGCGGGGCGGGTCCCTGGCCACCCCCGAGGGACAAGCAGTCCCCAGGAGCCGAGCGCCCCGAGGCCGCGCGGGGCCCCGCACACCGCGCCGCCGCCATGGAGCTCCCGCCGCTGGCAGGCAAGATCGCGGCGCTGTCATTCGGCGCGCTCCCGGTGTCCTACGCGCTCAACCACGTCGCAGCGCTCTCGCAGTGCGTGCGGGGAGGCCGGGCGGGCCGGGCGGGCCGGGCGGGCCTGAGGGGGCGCCGGGCGGAGGATGCGTTGCGGGCCTCGGGATCGGCGCCCGCGAGCCTGCGCCCGCGCCCGGGAGGAGGGGGCTGGGTGGGCCCGAAGTCAGCCCCCTCCGACCGGAAGTCCCCTCCTGCGGGCCGCAGGCTGGGGCGGGGACTCCCGGGGATGTTTGAGCAGATGGATGTGGAGCAGCAGAACCCCCAACACATGGCCGGGCTGTAGAAAGCTTATGGGGTCTCCCAGAGATGCCCCCAAGCCTTGCGGCTTCCAAAGTCCCCTAGGGTCAAAGTATTGTCCCAGATTAGCCCCGGGTGACCCAGCTCTTCCTGCCCCGCGCTGTCACAGGCCCAAGGCTTGCTTTCCCTCAGGGTGGGCTGACTCTGGCCTAGACTCAGTTTCCCTGCATGCAGTCAGAACCTCTGTCGCTGTTCCCTAAGCCTAAGTCCCAGCCCTGTGAGTCCAGCAAGGCTCTGTCACGCTCAAGCCTGCTCAGGCCAAGACGTGGGGTGGTTTTGCCATGGATCTGAGACCTAGGTGCTGATACCTGTCTGTTGCGTGGACCCCGGCCACCTGAGTTTCTTCATCTGAGTAATGGCTGTCATCCTAGTCCTCACCCCGTGACTATGGGAAGGGTTACAGGCTGGCAGCAGAGCCACGGTCTCATCTGACAGCTGGAGTCATCACTGTTGGTCAGACAGGGCCAGAGTAGAGATGGGGCAGGGGGGGAGGGTGTCTTGTGACAAGATGAGGGGAGATTGCTGGACAGGGCCTTGCTGTGTGGCCCTGGACGGGTCCTCACCCTCTCTGGGCCTCGGTCTGCCCACTTGTGCTGGCTGATGCCAGAGACCCAGCTCCTGTCACCTGTGTCACCTGCTCGCCTGCCTTATCAGGACGATGGGGCAGATCTGGGCAGGGATAGGGTGCAGTGGGTGGAGGTGTTTGGACTTTAGCTGGGAGGAGTTGGGAGCCTCAGACAGAGATATCTACAGCGACCTGAAGACCCTCGGGAATGGGGCCAAGCCGGGCCACCCAGGAGCTGGGTGTTAAGACCGAGAGCAAATCCGATCAAACACACCAGCAGATAGGGAATAAATGGTCCAGCAGAATGTTTGATGGATAGCCCCTCTCTACCTAGTCCCAGGGGACAAGGATCCTTTCTAGGGAGTCAAGGAGGGCTTCCTGGAGAAGGAAAAAACCAGATGGGCCATGAAGGACGAATAGGAGTTTACAAAGTAATTTCTGGGGGCCAAGGATGTAGCTCAATAGTAGAAAATATGCTTAATGTATGCAAGGCCCTGGGTTTATTCCTCAGCACCACAAAATGAACGAAAGAAACCCCAGCGTGGTGGCACAAGCCTGTAATCCCAGCACTTGGGAGGCTGAGCAGGAGGATCGCTTCAAGTTTGAGGCCAGCCTGGACTACATAGGGAGACCCTGTCTCACAAAGAAAAAAGAGCCGGGGATTTACCTCAGTGGTTTTGCCGCCTGCTGCGCAAGCGTGAGGACCCGAGTTCAATCCCCGGTATCAAAAAAAAAAAAAAGAAAAAGAAAAAAAGAGGGGAGCACCAATGAACTGAAGAAAGGAGGCTTTTCACTGGAAGCAGTTTCTAGAAGGGAGAAGCGGCCTGCGCAGAGGCAGAGCCGTCTAAAGAAGACTCTGATGATCAGCAGATGGAGTGCGCTGTGTCGCCAGCAGGGAGGGAGGCAGAGGCCCCAGCACTGCTGGGCCTGCCTGATGGGGTGCCCTCTCCTCAGCCCCCTCTGGGTGGCGCTGATGAGCGGCTTGATCCTGGCCCTGCTGTTCGCGTCCATCTACAGCTTGTCCCGAGGAGAGATCGCCTATGACTCGCTCTACGTGGGTGAGTCCCTGGGAGGTGGTAAAAAGGGCTGCCTCCCCGGGCCTCCACCTCCACCTTCAGACCTGCGGCCACTGCAAGGCCTCCTCCACCAGGCTGGGCGCCTCGAAGGGCTCCCATCACATTGGAGAGACCGGTACTCCTCCATTAGACTGGGGAGCCCCAAACAGTCTCCCCTTTTAGACTTGGAGCTGGCAGGGCTGTGGTTCTGTAACTTGAGCAGTGGGGACAGGGACTGCTCTTGGAGCCTCGTGTTAGACCTGCTACTTCAAGCCCCGCCCCCTTTACACCTGACCTGAGACGTGCAGGCCCAAACCTTGACCTTGCGGTTTTAGCCCCGCCCACACGCGGCTCGGCCCCGCCCTGCAGGGGCCCCACCCACCCAGGCCCCTCCCACTCTCCCGCAGTCTTCGGCGTGTTCTCCTTCACCTCCGTAGTGGACCTCGTCATCGCCCTGCAGGAGGACGGCTACATGGAGGGCTTCATGGAGTTCTACACCAGGGAGGTAGGTGGCGGGTGGCCAGGGTGTCCCCTGCCCCGTGGTATGTCTGAGCCTCGCCCCGCCCCCAGGGCGAGCCATACCTGCGCACTGCACACGGGATCTTCATCTGTTACTGGGACGGCACCGTGCACTACCTCCTCTACCTGGCCATGGCCGGCGCCATCCACAGGAGGTAGGCGGCAGGGTGGCTCCTCGGGCCCCGCATTGGGTGGGGCAGAAAGTGTCTGAGTGAAATCAGGAGGCCCCTCATGGGCTGCAGCCAGGGGTGGCCAGGAGAACGTTCTCTAGATGTCAACAGGGGTGAGGGTAGTGGCCACGTGACTCACACCCACACTGTCCCTGTGAAGCCAGTGTCATCCCTGGTGTCCTTTCCATCCTGGACAAAACAGAGAGGGGCCCGGAGCTGGGGGGCCAGGGTGGTCTCTGCCCTACCTGGGACTCTGACACAGGGACAGGCACCCGGTAGTCACCCTGTGTTCCTGGCCCAGGAAGCAGTACCGGAACCTTGGGCTCTACTGGCTGGGCTCCTTCGCCATGAGCATCCTGGTGTTTCTCCCCGGAAACATCCTCGGTAAGGATCCGGCTTAGGGAGCCCCATCCTTGTACCGGAAGCGCCCCATGCTGGGTCCTCCATCCCCTCCCCCTGTCTGCAGGTCCCTTCTGTCTCTTTGTCTGTCCATAGATAGCTTCAGCCAGCAGCCTCCCCGTTTCCTCCTGGAGGTGGGGGCGCCCAGGGTACTTCTGCTTCCTCCCCAGGGTTTTGCCCACACACCAGAAGGGTGTTTCAGGGTGGGCAGAGCGGAAGCTGTGTAGGTAGTCTTGGGAGGTGGGGCAGAGATGACAATCGAGGCATTGGGACAGCACGGCAAGGACTCAACAAGGAAAGCACCTTAAATGTATTCATGGGAAGGGCAGCACCACTGGAGAGTAAGATCTGTATTCACGGGGTGAGCCGAGGCAGGCCTGGCTGAAGAGCACTGACGTCGTTTATGGGTACTAGGGAGCCATAGGAGTGATGGCGCAGGAGCAAGGTTGGCATGTGTAAATCAAGATGTCTCTCTCCTCCACCATGGCAGGGAAATACAGCTCCGAGATCAGGCCCGCCTTCTTCCTGGCCATCCCCTACATGCTGGTCCCATGCTGGGCTGGCATGAGGGTCTTCAGCCAGCCCCGGGCGCCCTCCTACTGTCCCCCCAACTTGGTGAGTGCCATGTCCCCTGGGCCAGCCAGGCCCCGCCTGCCTCCGTGGACCCCGAGTGAGCTGCGTTGGAACAAAGACCTGGTGTCCTCCGGGAGGAGGGGCTTTGTCCTCTGCCTGTGGGATTCCAGATCACTCCTGCAAAGTCCGATTCTCCCTGGGCCAGGTGCAGGAGGAGCAGAGGAAGGGGCTGCTGCAGCGCCCGGCCGACCTGGGCCTCCTCGTCTACCTCATCCTGGCCGCGTTCTTCACCCTGTTCCGGGGCCTGGTGAGCCTCTTCACAGCCTCCCCTCCCCCGGCCTCCAGCCTCCCTTCCCGGGCCTTTATCGCTTATTGTTAGAAAAAAACCACTGTTCTGTCCGGTCACCCAAGGACGTTCGTCATCTGACCTGAGTATCCCATGACAATGCCCTGTTTCCTGCAGTTCTCATCCTCCTCTCCCAATTCCTGCATGGACAAGGCTGGGGTCCCCAGATGGACACAGCTAGGGCTAGGAGACTTAGACCAAGGAATAGGGACCCTGCTGGGAAGCGGGGGTGAAGTGGCTTCCTGGAAGAAGGATGCTTGAGGTAGCTGGCTGTTTCGTCTGTTTGCCCCAGGTAGTGCTTGACTGCCCCACGGACACCTGCTTTGACTACATCTACCAGTATGAGCCATACCTGCGGGACCCTGTGGCCTATCCAAAGGTGCAGGTGAGAGAGCAGGTGGAGGGAGGTAGTCATGGTCCTGCCTGGGCCTTTTTGAAGCAGATGGCCAGAAGCACAAGTCAAATTGGCAGAAACACATGTGGAATGTATTGCCTTATGGGAAAAGTAACAGATATGGTCTTCAGGTATAGCTGGATCCAGGTGCTCATGGGTAATTCTGTCTCTGGGCCCTGTTGTCTTTGCCTGGCTCCCTTTAGGGGTTGGCAGAGGCAGCTCTAGCTTTCCATATACCCCACTCCAATACCCCAGAGGAAATGAGCCCTTATTGTTACCCCAGAATGTAAGCACATATCTGAGGCAGACTCTGATTGACCCAGCCCCAGTCACATGCCTATTCTTCATCATGGCCATGGCATTCTGGTGTTTGGATTGGCCAGGCCAGGGTCATGTGCCAGTCAGAGGACAGAGGCCTCTAAGGGAAACAGAGGTGCTCTCAATCAAGGGTAGGATGGGCAGAGGGCCCCCCAGGCTGGGCGAAGTCCCAGGAGCACTGGCTCCTCTCTTAGGCCATGATCCGCACCACCAGATGCTGATGTACCTGTTCTACGGCCTGCCTTTCTACGCCCTGGCCTCCTATGCCCTCCTGTTCCCGGGATGCTCCTGGCTGCCTGACTGGGCCCTGGTGTTCGCCGGAGCCATTGGCCAGGTGAGGGTACAGGCAGTGTGTAGGCAGGCATTGTGCCCATCCTGGGCAGCCACAGGCCCAGGACCCCAGAATTCCCCAGACTGGGGGAGACAGTTACCCCCGGCTCCCTGGAGTCAGAACTGAAGAGGAAGATGTGCAGGGGCAGGGGGATTACAAAGGAGGAAAGGTTCCGCAAGGACCCAAGAGCTGGGCTTTGATGTACACTATGCCCTCTCGAAGTCACCGTTCAGAGTTCAAGGCCTCAGTCCTTCGCGGATTTTGTCTTAGAACCTAACTCCTCCGCTATTGTTTTTTTGGCGGGAGGTTTGCAAGTGGCCAATCCGAGAGCGTTTTTCAGTTCTCCTTGCTGCTGATTGGCTGCTGCCCTGTAACACATCGTGGGCGGATGCCCCGGCATTCCCTCCTAACACTGTAGCTATCTGAGTGTTCTGGTTTCGTTCTTAAAGCCCTAAGATCCCTAAGATCCCGCCAAATGCTTTATTAACACAGTATTTTATTAATTTTTTTTTTGGTACCGGGGATCAAACTTGGGACCTTGCGCTTTTGAGGCAGGCAGTGGAACCACAGAGCTAAAGGACATAACTGCAGGAGACAGCATATTGAGGGTTTAAACTATAAAAATAGGCATTTATACGCATATTCCTGACCATATCTGAAATTCGCGATTTTTTTCACAATTTGTGGGAGCACTGGGAAGGTAACTCCTGCGAATTTCAGGGTCCACTGTATGCAGAGGAGTACTCTAGGTCGGAAAGGGCATTCCTGGAGTGGGGACAGCACAAGGAAAGGCACAGAACAGTGGCTTAGTAGGACTAGAATGTAGGTAAAGGCAGAGGCAAGAGAAGTGGGCACCTGGATGCTGAGGGTTTTGAGGTCTGGGCTTGTGTTGAGGGTGATGGGAGCCATGGGAGGTGTTGGAGCGGTGGAGGACCCAGTCGGAGCGGGGGTTCCCAATGGGAAGAGATAAAGCCTGCATCGGGGCAAGGTAGGAGGGCCGAGGAAGATTCCCAAGGGGGAAAATGGGCAGAGTTCGTGTCCCGAGGGGTTAGGAGGAGGACCTGAGCCGGGTCAGAGGACCGGTGTTGGCAGAGTTCAGACGCAGGTCCAGAGGACGAGTGAGCCACCCAGCCAGCGATAGGAGGACGGGGCTGTCAGGAAGAACTGGGTGGGGCTTTGGCGATGCTAGGCGGCCACCGCCCACCCGCCCCTGACCTTTTGACCGCGGCCTCCCTTTGCGCAGGCGCAGTTCTCGCACATGGGCGCATCCTCCCACCCGCGCACGCCCTTCACCTACCGCGTGCCTGAGGACGCCTGGGCGCCAGTCTTCGTCTGCAACCTGCTCTATGCGATCGGCCCGCACTTGCTGGCCTGGCGCTGCCTGCTTCGGCCCGCCTTCTTCCTGCAGCCACCGCCCACACCCCCAAGCCCCAAGAAGAAGCAGCAGTGAGGGCTGCGACCCTGGCCTCTGTTTACAGGCACAGCCGACCCTGTGCGGGAAGCCGGGTGGCGCTTTAGCAGCAGGACGAAAGTCTCCAAGGGTCTTCTGTCCTGGCCGTGTCGGTGTCAGGCCAGTGGGTGGAATGGGATACCCACAGCAGGGCTTCTTGCAAAGAGGGCGTCACTGAAGTCAGGTGTGGTGGCTCATGCCGGTCATCCCAGCACTCAGGAGGCTGAGGCAGGAGGATTTCTGTGAGTTTGAGACCAGCCTGGGCTACATAGGGAGACCCTGTCTCAAAAAGCTAATGGGGGGGGGTTGTGCTTGTTCAACTCTCACCAGGCCCCAAAGGCCACAGGAATGCTTGTGCCCCCGCCCAGGATTTCCTCGTCATCCCCTTCAAGGGTCTTTTTAATAAAAACCCTTTTGATGGCTAAAATGTCACTGCCTAAGTGTTCAGGGTGCTGGGGCGAGGGACCTCTTCTTGTGCAACACAAAGGGCTTGGTGGCTGTTGGAAGGCTAAGTGCCAGGGGGCAGAGGTTGGCTTCTGGTTGGTATGGACAGCTCCCTCTTCCAGATGGGGGAAACTGAGGCTCAGAAGGGACAAGATACCTGCCTGAGGTCAAAATCAAGAGAGAAAAGCCACTGCTCTGCTGGAAATGGTGGCACATGCCTGTAATCCCAGCTAGTAGGGGGGCTGAGGCAGGAGGCTTGCCAGTTCAAGGTCAGCCTGAGCAACATTAGCAAAACCATGTTTCAAATAAAATAAAAAGGGCTGGAGGTGTGGCTCAGTGGCGCTTGGCTAGCATGAGTGAAGCCTGGGTTACATCCCCAATGGAAAAACAGTCATGCGTGGTGCACACCTGTAATGTCCCAGCACTCTGAGAAGCTGAAGCAGGAGGATCACAAGTTCTAGCTCAGCCTGGATAACAGGGACCTAATCTCAAAAAATAGAAAAAGGGCTGGAGATGTAGCTCAGTGTGAAGGCTCTGGGTTCAAGCCCCAGTACTGGGGAAAAAAGTCATTACTCTGCCAATAAACTACACTGTAACTAATAGTGTGGCACGATTATTACACACCTACTGTGTGCCATGCTGACTGCTAACCTCCACTACCACAGGCTGGATCTCGGCCCATATTCCAGATGGGGAAACTGAGGCTGCAAAGGGTGAAGGTCCTGGCCCAAGGTAACACCTGGGTACAGCCAAGCTAGGGACCAAGCCCTGGCCGGTCAGACCACAGAACCCATGAGGGTTTCTGCTGGCTGCCTTGGGCTCATCTTAGGGGAAAGTGAGGCTAAGAGACAGCCATGGTGTTGGGAGAAGTGCTCACCATTTCCTGGGCTGTGATTTTAGGATCCTTTTTCCTTTCTTCAGTGCTGGGGATTGAACCCAGCGTCTTCCACATCCCAGGCAAATGCACAGACCGAGTTGGTCTGTGACTGTGACACTGTTGAAGTGATGGGGGACCGGCTCCCCGCTCCTTGCTCCCTGCCAATACCAACTGGTACCTGTGTGGGGCCAGGAACACTCATCTCCCAGGGAGACAGTGCATCCTCCAACGTCCCACAGCCAGAGAGGGGCAGAGTCCTCAGGTCAGGAAGCCAGGGACCGACTATTGGGTACCTCACCCTCCAGTGGCTGCTGGACCCCAGGCCTCCAGGACCGTCACTCCGTGGGCAGATGGGTAAACTGAGTGCTGCAGGCCAATCCCCTTATCCAAGTCACCAAGCGTTCCTCGCCCAGACAGGATATGCAAGATGGAAGACTCCATACACCTCGAGCCGCCTATTCCATTTTATTTATTTTATTTTATTTTTTTTTTGGTACCAGGGATCGAACTCGGGTCCTTGCATTTGCGCAGCAGGTGGCGAAACCACTGAGCTAAATCCCCGGGCTATTCCATTTTAAAGATGGTCAGACTGAGGCCGAGTTTCCTCCAGCGGCCCAAGGTCAGCCTGCGCAGAGTCCTGTGCACGTGCCAATGCCCAGGTGCACCTTTTCGGAGCGCGCGCTGCTGCGTCCCCTTTAACGCCCCCCCCCCGCCTCCCTCCTCCCCTTGCAGGCAGACGCCGGGATTGCACAGCCCGCCCGCGGGGAGCTGCCCAGTCCTCCGGGCGCGGCGGGGAGCGCGGTCGGACGCGGGCCGCTGCGGGCGCGGGCAGGATGGTGAGCGCGGGCGGGGGGCCTGGTGCCGGGTCTGGGTTTCTGTGTCTCTACTCAGTCCCCGCGTCTGTCCCCTGTCGCACTCTCTTGGAGCTCTTTTCCTGGCAGCTGTCCCTCTCTGCCTCTCCTATTTTTCTCTTTTTTTGGGGGGGGGGTCCCTTTCACAATTTCTCTGCTCCCTTCTGTCTCCCTCGCTCTCGCTCTGTCCTCTGTTCCTGCGTCTCTGTCGCCGTCTGTCTCCGTCTCTCTGTCCCCGTTTGCTGCAGTCTCCTGGCGCAAGGATAACCTTGCTGCCGCACGCCCTAGCTCCGCTCCCCGCCCCCTCTGAGCCAGGCCGAGCGCGGGGGCTCGGATCCACCACGCGGGGACCGGGGTCAGGTGGACGGGGCAGGTGTCGGGGAGGCCCGGCTCGGGCGGGCGCGCAGAGCGCAGGATGGAGAGGGCTCGAGGTCCCAGGAAGGCGCAGGGATGGAGACCTCCGGGACCCGGCGGAGATGGCACCTGGCACGGGGAGGGCCCCCACCCCCACCCCCAGGTTTGACAGGCCGGGGAGCCGGTCCTCTGAACAGAGGCGCGGCTGCCTGCGAACTGAGCGCCGTGCGCCTGCAGGTGCGCGCTGGGGCTGCCCTCGGAGCCGGCGCACTCTGGGCCGCGACCTGGGGCCTCCTGCTGCTCTCGGTGCCCGTGGCGGGGCAGCGCAGCAGCAAGAAGGTGGTGCATGTGCTCGGTGAGTCTCGGTAGCCCAAGGTAGCCGCCGCGCTTCGGAAAGGGGCAGGGGGAGGGCGCGGCTGATGGCCACAGTCCCCCAGACTTCTCCATTGGACCCCGCCCTAGCCTCCTTCCCACATCCCCTTCCTGGCCGCCTCGGCCCCCTCTGAACCCCGCTTGGTCGCCCGCAGAGGGAGAGTCGGGCTCTGTGGTGGTGCAGACGGCGCCCGGGCAGGTGGTCACCCACCGAGGTGGCACTATCGCCTTGCCCTGTCGCTACCACTACGAAGCGGCCGCCCATGGCCACGACGGTGTCCGTCTCAAGTGGACGAAGGTGGTGGACCCGCTGGCCTTCACGGACGTCTTCGTGGCGCTGGGGCCCCAGCACCGGGCGTTCGGCAGCTACCGCGGGCGGGCTGAGCTGCAGAACGACGGGCCTGGGGACGCCTCGCTGGTCCTGCGAAATGTCACCCTGCAGGACTACGGGCGCTACGAGTGCGAGGTCACCAATGAGCTGGAAGATGACGCCGGCATGGTCAAATTGGACCTGGAAGGTGACCGTCTCATGGGCATGATGGAGCTTGCTTCTAAGGGGAGGGGACCGCAAGGGACACAAACCAAATCAGATTGGCTTGAAGAAATTTAGAGATTTCACCCGGGCGTGGTGGCGCACACCTGTAAGCCCTGCAGGAGTCGGAGGCAGGAGGATCGCAACGAGTTGAGTTAAGAGGCCAGCCTGGGCTACACAGTGAGACTCTGTCTCAAAAAAGGCAAACAATCCGAGGATTTAGCTCAGTGGCACCGTGCCTGCCGCCTCGAAAGCGCAAGGTCCTGAGTTTGATCCCGGTTCAAAAAAAAAAAAAGGCAAATGAAAATTAGAGATTTTGCAGGGCAGAGCAATGGTTACGCTGGGGGTTATGCTGACCCCCGTAGACTGTGACAATGTCTGGAGCTATTTTAAGTGCTGCTTGGGGGTGGTGCACTGATATGTAGTGGGAGAGACCCCGGATGTTGCTAAACATTCTACAAGGCACAAAACTGTCCCTACAGAAAGGATGACCCAGTCGTGTCCATAATGAAGAAAGGACATGAGAAGCCCCGGGGTAGGGCTCAGAACGGTGAGATCCAGGCATTTGTTCTGTCAGAAATCCATCCCTCGTCTGTGCTTCTTGGGTGGCCTTTCTCAGGAAGGTTTCCCCTTCCGGAACCAATCATAACCCCAATTATAACACCAGACTGACGCCCTCACATCTCAGCAACGAATTTTCTAGGATCAGCACCTAGACTCCCAGAGTTGTCTCTTATTGGGCCAGTTTGAGTCACGTGCCCATCTATGAGCCAATCACTGTGGCCAGAAGCTGGGCTGCTGTGATTGGCTGACCTGGAGGTTGGAGGTCTGGTTTCTAGCTGAAGAATTCCTTCAGTCCAGGAGATCGCAGGAGATTTTTAGGGCCGCCACTTCCTGAATTCCCCAACAATAAATAGCAGCAGCAATAATAGCAGGAGCTCTTCTTCATTTGGCGTTTTCTGTGCCAGCCATTTGAGGTGAAGAGTGCTCTGGAGTCGCTCATTTAATTTCCCGAGAACCCCATGGGAGACAGCTATTACCAGCCTGTGGCAATGAGCGCAGGGCTTTGCAGCCTCACCCAGGGCACCTGCTGATGACCGACTGGAGCTCAGCTCCTGGCTGCGGGCTGGGTTTTCTTCCTGGGTGTGCTGAGTTAGTCCACCTACCCCACACCCTGCCCTAAAGGCCACGAGGGACAAGTTCAGCCTTAAAACGAAGTTTTAAATTAGGGAAGCCAGTGGGTACCACCTTGGACGATGCTGTCTGGTCCAGGGGTCTTCACCCTGGGATACAACATTCCAGGGCTCCCAGTCTGGGGAAGTCCTGCACTGGACACAGACATTACCAGTCTTCACAGGCCTAGGAATGGCGCTCAGTGCTGGTGAAATGTCAAAACATGTAGGACTGGAAAGAGGAGGGTTTGGGTTTTGGGTTTTGAACGATTTGAACAGGAGTTTGACATGTGGAAAGGGTAGAGAACGTGAGCAAAGGTCTTCAGCAGCGGAAGAGGGATAGACATGATTAAGTATGTTGGGGGAGGGTCGAGTGAATCCCTGGCTGACCCCATGCACCCCTGACAGGCGTGGTCTTCCCCTACCACCCCCGTGGAGGCCGCTACAAGCTGACCTTCCCTGAGGCGCAGCGAGCGTGCGCTGAGCAGGATGGCATCCTGGCGTCGGCCGAGCAGCTGCACGCAGCCTGGCGCGGAGGCCTGGACTGGTGCAACGCGGGCTGGCTGCGCGACGGCTCGGTGCAGTACCCAGTGAGCAGGCCGCGGGAGCCCTGCGGCGGCCTGGGCGGGACCGGGAGCGCGGGGCCCGACGGCGGTGGCGTGCACGGGGGAGTGCGCAACTACGGCTATCGCCACAACGCCGGGGAGCGCTACGACGCCTTCTGCTTCACCTCCAACCTCCCGGGTGCGTAGGTCCCGTCCCCCCAGGCCCACGTTCCCACCCAGACTCCCAGATTGCCACAGCGTGATGATCCAAGGCGCCAACACGGCCCTGGCCAAGCTGGGGGGCCCAGGCTGCGGGGGAGGGGCCCTCCAGATCCGGAGAGGCCTGGGTTGGGGGGGGGGGGGTTGTCCTGAGCCCGTAGGGCGGGATCGGTCCTAACCACGTCCCCACACCCCGCAGGGCACGTGTTCTTCCTGAAGCCGCTGCGGCCCGTGCCCTTCGCGGGAGCGGCGCGCGCGTGCGCGGCGCGGGGCGCGGCCGTGGCCAAGGTGGGGCAGCTGTTCGCCGCCTGGAAGCTGCAGCTACTGGACCGCTGCACCGCCGGCTGGCTGGCAGACGGCAGCGCGCGCTACCCCATCGTGAACCCGCGCGCACGCTGCGGGGGCCTCCGGCCCGGTGTGCGCAGCCTCGGCTTCCCGGACTCGTCCCGGCGCCTCTTCGGCGTGTACTGCTACCGCGCCCCCGGAGCGCCGGACCCCGCGCCTGGCGGCTGGGGCTGGGGCTGGGCCGGCGGCGGCGGCTGGGCCGGGGGCGCGCGAGACCCCGCTGCCTGGACCCCACTGCGCGTCTAGGAGCCTCGAGGAGGGGCGGCCCTGGACGCTGGAGTCGCCCTGGCGGTGCCCCGCAGGCTGGCCAGGCCTCTGGCGCTCTTGGACGCTGACTATGCCCCAGGGGCTGTTAGAAAGTAATCGCGCCCATGGGGTCCCATGGGGCCCCCTCGATACTGGCCCAGCCCATCTCTCTGGACAGTGCATTTCCCCTCTCCTCAATTTCTCCAGAAGGGCCACCTCCCTGAGGGTACCAGGAGGCCGACGGCGCCCCCAGCTTCCTGAAGGCTGGCCAGCCCTCTGCGGCCTACTGGAAACAGACAGAGCGCTCCCTCGGTAGAGGCTGGACCCCCGGGAGTATCTGGCCCCTGGCCACACACCCGCTGCATTTACCCGGAGACTGGAAACGGGTCTCTTTGATCAGCTGCACACTGAATCCCCTATTACCTGGAGAGAAGATGGAAACCTCAGGGTTCCCAGGTGAACAGGGCCCCCCGCCGGCCTGCAGACCAGTTTCTTCACGGCGCCTGAGAGGCCCCGAAGTTTCCAGGGTGACAGGCGCGTCCCTGGTCCCTGTGGAGGACAGTCCCACCTCTCAGGCTCAGGGAAGAAGACCCCTACTTGTCACCGCTAGGCCGCCCAACACGCCCCCAGGTGGCTGGCCATGGGCCATGGGTCGGCTGGGCCTCACTCACCCCTCAGGGATTTCTCTGGAGGGGGAGCAGACCCGTCCCCACCACCCCAGGCCCCTTACAGGGCTGTCACCAGAGAGATCACTCCCTTGGTCTCAGAGACCCGTAAGCCTCCTGTCATGGAGACCAGCTGCCTAGCTTCTCACTGTAACCAAAGGAAGCTCTCACTTGACGCCTAAAGTGACACCCCTCCCCTGATGAGTCACGCCCTGGGGCGGGCACCTTCCTCCTGCGGCTGTAACCATGGATACCACACATTTCCCTTCTCACCAGCCTTCACCCCAGAGGCTACAACTCTACCCGGGCTGTCCCCACCTTGACCCACCACCATGGAAACCGCCCTCCTTGAAACTATCCCCAGGGCGACCCAGCATTAGGTTCTGCAGCTGTCACCATGGAAACAGGCTGCCCCCCTCCCCAGGCGCACCCCCAACTCCAAGCTCCACCCCAGACTGCTTGGCGACCCCCCCCACACACACACACTGTTGCCGTGGAAACCAAACCCTGGTGTCTGTGGTGACAGAACACCTGTCCCCATAGGCTTTTCCTCCATCACAGGGTCTCTGCCCAGCAAGCTGTCGCCATAACGACTGTCAGCGTCGTCCCCATGACAACCGATCTCCCAGTTCTCAGGAACTTCTCGCCAGGGGCCGGATGACCACCCCTTCGCCAGACGGGCCTAGGCCCAGACAGCGTCCCATTCAGGGCTGCCGGCGTCTGCACGCTAACGATACGCCAGGCAGCTGCTGTGCACGCGCCACCCAGGCCTTGTGATTCCCGCCTGCAGACCGGGCCTCTGCCCTTTGAGCTGTGCAGGGTCTGAGACCCCAGCCCATCCTCTCCCTGGCCCCGCCCACACCTCCGTCCTTCCTAGGAGGCCGATTCATACCGTGAGGTCAGGACCCAGGCAGAACCCCCACTGAGGGCCAGCTCCTGGGCCCAGATGGCCGGAGACCCCAGCTCTGAGGTCCTACCTGCAGTGCTCCTTACTGTCGTTCCTGTCTCTAGGAAACGTGCCTCTGAGTTGGGGAATCAGGAGGGCGTGGGTTCGAATCCTGCCTCTTGTTCTTGTTCACTGTGTGACCAAGCGATAAATCCCCTCTGAACCTGTTTTCTTCAACGTCCCAGGGTTGTTCTGAGGCCCCCTCGAGTGCAGTGCATACAGCAGGAGTTCAATAAATCTTTGATTCTTAAAAAAAAATAATAAATCTTTGAGTCTTTTAATGAATGAGAAAACAAGTTTGTTGAACAAAATATTTCTCCGTGAGAGGCGTGGTTTTGAGTGCATCGGGAAACCTCTCTCCACATCCTTAAGGTTCCATTCTCCCAGTCTCTGTCACCCTTCCCTCATCCTGTGTATCCCAGGCTGGCCTCAGACTCACAATCCTCCTGCCTCAGCCTCCACACTGCTGGGAGGTGTGGTCCCCTACGCCTGCCTTAGCTCTGTCCCGACTGGGTCCTTGAGAGAATACGCAGATGTTAGGATTTCCTGCCCTAGGAGGTCAGTAAGGTTGCGCATTTTCCCCAGCATGGGAAAAAGGGGCTGGGACGGTGCCGAGGGGCACTGAAAGTTCCTAGGATGCAGCCAAAGCCAGAGAGGGGAAAAGGTACAGTTCTGATTTGGTTGTAGAACTGGGCTGATGTGTATCCTTCTGTGCTTCCGGAAACTTCAGCCGGACGGCTTCGGCTGGGCCTTCGCTTCCATAACGGAGTAACGGTGAGAAGCACAGTTCCTGGGACCGCATTCTTCCTCCCTTCGCGGATCCCAACTTCCTGGTTAGCCCTCGAGGCTGACCCGTCCTCTTTGGGCTCAGCCAATGAGTTCTTGAGGCTTACTCTCTGAGAGATCCTGATTGGCCTAAAGGCAGGGCATGTATTCAAGCAAATCAGTGAGACGCAGTCCCTGGGATTTTGGCTACCCGATTGGGCGGGGGAGGGCCCTTCCATCTGGCGCGGTTGCTATGCAAGGTGTGTTCCCGCGTAGATCTTTCTGAAGCCAGATGTCCAGGAAAACGGTCCCCTCTTGTGCCTTCCACCATCCAAGTCCACTCCAGAGACACTCAAGGTTCCTAACGGGGTCAGGATTCCCTGACATCAGAATCCACAGATGTCCGTGTTCTCTAAGAAAATGGCTTGGTGTTTGAATCAGTCTACACACATCCTCCTTGTACTTTAAATCATCTCTAGTTTACCTGTTAATTTTTAAATGCTATTTCAATTTTTTTTTTTTTTTTTGGTACTGGGGATCGAAATCGGGACCTTGTGCTTGCGCAGCAGGCGCCGGAACCACTGAGCTAAATCCCCGGCGCTATTTCAATTTTTTAAAATGCATATTGAGGGCCTGGGGTGTAGCTCAGCGGCACCGCGCCTGACTGACAAGCACTAGGTCCCTCCTTCCTCTTCCTTCTTTCTCCTTCCTTCCTTTTTTCTTTTCTTTTCTTGCATTTCCTTCTCTCTGTCTTGTACTGAGGATTGAACCCAGGGCCTTCACACTGAGCTACATCCTCAGCCCTTTTTAAAATTTTATAGTTTGAAATAAAACCTCACTAAATCGCTAGGTTACCCAGGGTGATTTATGTCCTTCCTGCCTCAGCTTCCCTAGTGCCCAGATTACAGGTGGGCCCTATACCCGGGGCCCTTGCTGGCCTAATTCCTGCTCCTCACCTTCTGATTGCACCCACTCCTCCAGGAAACCTTGGCTGACCCCCAGGAACCGCTCTCCTGTCATCCTGTCCCCACCTCCAGAGCTCATCACACCCTTCCAGAATGAACGGTCAGGTGCCGACAGGTTGAACTGTTAAAAAATTTTATTAAAATGTCCAAGAAGTACATTAATGTCCACAGTGTCAGATACCACAGACCCACAGAACACTGCAGCTCACAGCAGAACCAGCAGAAACCCGAAGCAGTTCACACACACACAGTCACACGCACGCACACGCACACACGCAGCCCCAGGGAAAGGTTAAAAGACAAAGCTCCCGCTTTGGAAAGCGCCCGAGTTCCGGGCGGGCGCAGGGCTGGGGCAGGGGGCCCAGGCAGGAGCACCAAGGGTGCCCCACAAGACGGTGTCCCCAGCTCACCAGATGAAGGCAGTTTCTTCTGGGACACGGGCAGCAGATATGTTGTTACCAGGAAGTGTTAGGAAGTAAGAACATAAACCTAGGTCCTTGGCTTTTCTCCACAGTAACGTGGGGTGGGCAGAGGGACAGAAGCCAATGTCCATGCCAGGGAAGCTGGAGGCCACTATTAAGGGCAAAGGTCCAGCTAGCCCTTCTCAACCATTTCCTAAATCTGCCACGTGTGGGAGAGAGATGGGAACCAAACAACCTTCCTTCCTCTCTCTTTTTTGTTTTTGGTACCGGGGATCGAACTAGGGACCTTGTGCTTGTGAGGCAGGTGCCGGAACCACTGAGCTAAATCCCTGGCCCTTTCTTTCCTTCTTTCAAGCAGAGTCTATGTAGCCCAAGCTGGCCTTGAACTCACAGCAATCCTCCTGCCTCAGCGTCCCCAGTGCCAAGAAGACAGGATTGTGCTACCACTCCTGGCTCCAGTTAACACATTTCTATCTTTTGAGCTCCTAGGCAGACCATACATTTGTGTATCTTTCTTTCCTAGAGAGCCATTTTCCACCAAGATTTTAAACACAAACCCACAGCCTTCACTCAGACTGCAGTAGCTAAGTAGGAACAAGACGCGGAGGAAAAGCTATGGGTCTTTCAGGTAGATCCTGGCTTCTGGCTTGGGGTGGGTTTTTGCAGGTTGCAAATTTGGGGAAAGAAGGCAAGGTGAGTTCTTTCTTGCTTAAAAAATTTGTTAAACTATGAGAAAAAAATGTGAGTGTACATGTATGAGTGTGTCAGTTTTCACACCGTGCGTCTCTCTACCATGACTGCAGGGAGGTATCACTGCTTCAAGTTGTAAGCAATTCTAGTTCACCAGGCAAAGGCTGGAGACAGGGATGGGGGGGTGCTGGGAGCCGGGCAGGGGCAACCTATGTCTGTGTGGGGGACAGGTACATACGGGCACTGGGTTAAAAAACTTGGTGCCTCCCTGGTGCAAGAAGAAGGCTCTTTGTCTCCCTGAGAGATGGAAGGGCAAGGGATCCGGCCTCAGCTAACCCTAAACATCCTCTTCTGGACATGTGGGAGAGATCCGTCAGGAAGGTCGAACCACCAAGTCTCAGCGCTGGAGTAGACCTGGGAGGGTAAGCAATACACTCTCCCTCCACACCCACATATCGCTCCTGTCTCCCTAATTCTGAGGGCAGGGAGGGCAGCCTTCGTTCCTAAAATTTAGTGCATTTGAGTGCCACTCACAGGGATCCTCCTGGCTCAGCCTCCGAGGTGCCTATCCACCAAGACCAAAGACCAAACTGGGCTGAGTCCAAGGCAAAGGAAGAGTAGTCATCAAGTTCATGCTGTGTGCTTCTGTTTCGCCTTCAACTCCCAAAGCCAGCGACCTTAAGCAGAGGCTTCATATAGGCCAGCCAACTGTTTATGGAGCTTGAATCCCTGGTGTGAAAAGCAATTCCTTAGCCCAAATCCAAACATACATCAAAGTCTTATTTTAACAAATGCCCATCAGCCTGGCCAACAGATCAAACCAGTGCAGAGAATGATCCTGGAGAACAGCGCTTCCCTTGGCCACCCTGATGGGCACGGACTTTTCAGACACATGGCTACACCTGCCAAGAGGGCCTCGTGTAAGAGAGGGAGGACGGGAGCTTTGTACAAAGGGTTACGTGAGAGGTGCGATGTGGGGCTCAGGGACTTCCAGACCCTCTTGTTTTTCTCTGGGTGGTGTCTCCCAGGCATGGAAGGGGCTGTGCTTTCTTTTGCCTGCTTCTTCAGCAGAAATCAGCCTTGTCCTTCTCCCAGTCCTCTGCAGGGTGTTTCTTGTGTTTTCTGCGCTCCTTGTGCGATTTGTGGTGGTGATGCTGGTGGTGGTGCTGGTGATGCCGCCGGTGTCTCCGCATCCGATGGGACCGTCTGGCTGCAGGGAAGGGAAAGAGCATTTGGGAGGGCATTGGTGACGATGGGGTGGCTGGACACAGTGTGTCCCCTCAAGGCAGGCAACACCAGGTGGACTAGCACATCCGGACTTATCTGCAGGACTGCATTACAGGGCAGACATGAAGCCACATCAGGGCAGGAAGCGACTGGGAGCTATGCGTAGCTGCAAACCCGAGATGGGGCCTCCGGGAATGGCCACTTACGCTTGGTGCAGACGATCTGGGGCCGGTCCCACCTGCCGTTGCTCCGGCACCGGATGGTGGCCACATGATGCTGGGCAAAGCCTTCGTCACACTGGTAGCGTACGGTGGCGTGGACATTGTACTTGGCCTTGCGGGCTCCAACGAGCGAGGCATTCTCCACGGCTGGAGGGGGGCCACACAGCACTGGGGACAGAGGGTGCTCCGGTTCGGGAGGCAGCCAGCAAAGAGGCAAAGCCAGTTCATAGTCCCTGGGTCAGCAGGTCCCTCCCCCTTTCTGCCCAGCTCCAATCTCACAGGACTGAAAGCACCCGTGTGTCACTCTCCCACCCTCCAAGAACTCCACAGGTCCAGGAACCTCCTGCCCACAGCTTATTCTTAATTCTCACGGCAAGTACAGGGCATGATGGGAATGATGGGCATGGCTATCAGCAAGGAAATGGGAGCAAGAACACACCAAGGTCAAGAGAGAGGTGAAGGGAGAATGAACACAAACGAGTCCTTCATATGTAAAGAGTTGCTAAAAACCAACAAGACCCCCAACCCAATAGCCACCAGGAGATGAACTTCAAATAGTTTGTTCGAATATGAACAGCTGAAAAAGAGATCAACAGTCGGTTACTCTCATCCTTAAGGCTGTGCAAGGGACTGGGGGTGCAGCTCAGTGGTGAGCACCTGCCTGGCACATGCGAGGCCCTGGGTTCCAGCCCGCACTGCTGAAAAGTAAATTAAGTAGAGCAGTGAAGCATGGGCATCTGCGAGCCAACGGAAGGCAGGAGGATGTGCAGTACCTGTGTCCTTCTTGCACACGTAGGGGAGGTTGTAGTTGCAGGGAACGTCGTTCCAACGCCCACTCTCGTGTGCTACCATCACCACGCAGTCCTCCCCTCCCGCGAAGAAGTTGTCTGGCTGCTTCTCCCGCCAGTTCTCATATTGCTGCAGGGACAGGGGGCTGAGCCCAGCCCGGGCTCCAGCGCTGCCTCTGGGGATCCCCTGGCCGGGCCCCCACATGCACAAGGACTCCCTGTCCCCATCACTAAGGTGCACCCTGCCGCCTCTCCTGAGGCTGCTGTGACCCTGGCCACCCTCCTCCAAGCAGGGAAGCCACATATGCTCTGCTCTGCTTTTCCTGCCTTCTACCTCACAGAAAAGGAACAGTGAGTCCAAAGACCCAGAGGCAGGAAGCAACTCAGGGCTGGGGGCAGGGCTGCTTACCAGAGTTGGGCGTGTGGGCAGAGAGTGGGTGGGGCCAGATCAGTGTTGGGGAGGAAGAGTGTGTGAGTGTGTGTGTGTGTGTGTGTGTGTGTGTGTGTGTGTGTGTGCGTGCAGTGCTTGGATGGAACCAGGGCCTCACACACCCTGGGCTCTATCACTGAGGGGTACTCCAGCCCTTTTTACTTTATTTTGAGACAGAGTTGCCCTGTTGTCTCACTAAGTTGCCCAGGCTGGGCTCAAACTTGCAATCCTCCTGCCTCAGCCTCCTGAATAGCTGGGATTATAAGCATGAGCCACTGTGTACAGCCTGAAATTTTAAAATACTGTGTGTATGACGTGAAATTTCCCTTTTTTTTTTTTTGGTAACAAGGATTGAACTCAGGACCTTGTGGTTGTAAGGCAGGCATCAGTACCACTGAGCTAAATGAAATTTACCATTTTTAAGCACAGTTTATTGGCATTAATTACATCCACAATGTTGTATAACCGTTTCCACTATCTATTTCTAAAACTGGTTCATCACGACAAACCGAAACTCTGCCAATTAAGGAAAGCAACTCTCTACTTGCCCTGCTCCCAGCCCCTGGTAGGTGCCAATCTCCCTGGTGTTTCTATAAATTTGCCTCCCAGGCTATTCTACATGAAGGAACCCATACGCTACGTGGCTTTCTATGCCCGGCTTGTACTGATTTCTGTTGGTGCTGGCAATCAAACCAAGGGGTGCTCTACCACTGAGCTACATCTCAGCCCTTTTTGTCTATTTTTATTTTGAGACAGGGTCTCACTGAGTTGCCCAGCTGGGCTCAAACTTGTGGTCCTCCTGCCTCAGCCTTCCAGAATGCTGAGGTTGCAGGTGTGCGGCTCTGTGTTTATCCATGTTGTAGCATGTACCGGGACTTTAGCCAACCTCTTGACGGCTGTGTAATATTCCATTGTGTGCAGGGATCATGTTTTGTTTAACCACTGATGGACATCTGGGCTTCTGCCACCTCTTGGGCTGCTGTGAACATTGGTGGACAGTATCTATTTACATGTGTGCTTTTCAATTTTTATTTTTCCCTCCTTTTTCCAAGTGCTGGGAGTGGACCTCACAGCCTTATGCATGCTACACAAGTGCTCTGCCACTAAGCCTCATGCTCATCCCTCAGGGGTGATTTTTTAAAAGGCCCTTGTGTGGGGGAGAGTCTCCTTTTGGGTGATGAAAACGTTCTGGACCTCGACAGAGATGGTACCTCGACAGAGGTGGTGCTTACAGACTATTCTATTGGGTTTTTTTCTTGGCTTAATGTTTTTTTTTCGTTTGGTACCAGGGATAGAACTCGGGACCTTGGGCTTGTGAGGCAGGTGGCGGAACCACTGAGCTAAATCTACAGACTATTCTAAATGTACTGAGTGTTACTGAGTTGTACTCCTTTTTTTTTTTTTTT